TAAAGCTCATTTGTTACTTATCTTTTTCTTAAATTTGTCAACAAAAATCTTCATATATTTCGAGAATAAATCTCGTATGGTTCCTATAAAAAAATACGTGTTAGTAACTCTTAAGAATTGTCGTTGATTTTATTAAATGAAAAGAATCCTGTAAAATAACACCTTCTTAAAATTATAATCCCTTTCAGTATGATGCAATAGTCGATTTTATCGAAAATATTGAGTATCTTCATTACGGCTCAAGGAAACCAGCTGATTTTTTATGAATGATAGAGATATGTTTAAGCTTTATATCCATAAAGACTTGCCTAGCGAAATCATTTGTTGTTGATCTTAGCAAAAAAATTCACTCTTTTCCAGATTAGGAAAAAACTAAAATGCTTAACAAAGTAATTTTCTAATCATTTCTTTATGAGTATAAACCTTGAACATACCACCTCTATTAACTCGCTTGTTCGCGCCGTAATGACGATACTTAATTTTTTCTCAGTCAATTGACTTTTAGGTTATTCTGTATGATGACATACATAAAGTATTGCATTATAATGATATTTTGTTTAATGAAAGTATTAGTAATTATTTAGATAGTATGTGTCATTTTTATTAATTATATTTACTGTTTGTATTCATATTATTCAATCCTTGTAGTAGTATGTTGCAATAACATGTCTTTATATTATTGTTTTCGTTTTTTTTTCTATTGACTCAGTGACTTATACTAACAATGATAAAAGGTTTTTTCTTTTCGTTTAGAGCACATGGACGGAACATTTTCTTTTTTTTCCAGTTTAAGGAAGTAAAAATCAAGCAAAGAAAATTTTTACGTAATTCACATTTTTCTATAAATTTCGTTTATTACTATTTTATAATACCGGAAATTTTTCCCTGTAATATTTTTTGTATGAAAAAACGATATTGAAATTTTTGACTTGAAATAAAACGAAATTTTCATTTTTTTTGTAGATTGTTCAGTTAAAATATGTACGTTGTTATCTTACATACATTTCTATAACATCGATCGTCTATTATATTTTATAACCATAATTAATTATGTTGTCCTTTTTATGAAAAAAATTTTTATGAACACTTTCGTTCGTATATCTACGCCTATTTTATTGAAGTACACAATGTAAAACTGAAGAAGTCGTGTTACGCCTATTTTGGTATAGATGTTGATGATACTACTTCCTCACATCAGTTAGGTCTATCTTAGATCGATGAAGAACGAGTACAATAAATAGAAATGAAAGAAAAGGTCAAGGAAAGAATGCTATGTCATTAAAGTTGTCATGACCAGACTGAACAGTGCGACATGAACATATGGAAATTATTGATATAAATTTTATATTTAGTTTGTAAAAAAGAAAATGAAATATTTCTGTATTCTTCAGATTTGAATTGAGAATGGCTGAAGCTATAGAAACAACAGATCCTTGTGAACCGTCTCATAATCAAGTTAGTCTGCATGATTGGTCATTGAATTTGGTATGTAAAAAATGGTATTTTATTGAATAGATTGATATTTCTATATTTTAGAGTCAACATTTTCATAATGATAAATGTCAAAATGTAAATGTAGAAAAGTAAATATAGTTTTCGCAAAATTATTATTTATATTGTTTTTATAGAGAATTCATAGGTGAATACACTATCGATAATATTCCATGTGAATACTGTGATGAACTAATCAATTTTGATGATTGGGAAAGACATTCGGTAAATTAACAATATTATATGTACCTTAATAGTATCTATTGTATTACAGAGACAATGTGCTGAAACTGATAAGCAACGAATTGAAGATATAACTAAGTAATAATGATAGTTTAGAGTAATTCCATAGTTGGTAATGCGCTATATTTAGTCATGGTTCAAATAATCTTATTCCATGTGAATTCTGTTCTCTTCCAGTTAGTATACATGACTTGATGGCACATACGGTAAATAAATTATAATGATATTGATTGATATATAAATATTATCTATCCTTTAGAATAAATGTGCTGAAGTTGAAAGACAGCGAATTCAAAATCTAACGAAGTATAATAATAATAATGTATTCGATTTTAATATCAATGATGTATTGTTTTCAGACATGCTGGCAACAATCTCATTCCATGTGAATATTGTTCTATTCCAATTGACATAGATGAATGGAATTTACATACGGTGAGTAAACTATCACATTCATAGGTATATATCTACAGCTAAACTATTGGACCCGCTACATGTTCACTTCAATATATTTTTAATAGATAATATGAAATTTTATATTTTATCAGTATTTTCTTTTTCCTTAAGAATCAATGTGCTGAATTTGAAAGGCAGCGAATTCAAAATCTAACGAAGTATAATAGTAATAATGTATTCAATATTGATATCAATGATGTCTTATTTTTAGACATGCCGATAGTGATCTTATTCCATGTGAATATTGTAATAAATCATTCACTCTTCAGTATATTGAAAATCATCAGGTTTGCTTGTTTCTTTTCATTTTATATTTATAATTGTAATAACATATTCTTATATTTGGAGACTGAATGTCGACAACAACTTGCCACAGTATCGGTAAATAAACAAATATTTCTTTCTTTATATTATTGTTTTTTTTTGAAAATAAAATAGGATGGTTTTAACGCTCACGCATTTAACAGAGATCTTACTTTTCCAGAAACTTGGAATCATTCATCCCTATATAATCTTTCTCGTTATATTCTTGAACCGACATCCGAAGAATATAAATTTGTTGCAAATAATTTTCATAGAACATTACCATCAAACGAAATTGTTCAAATTGAACGAATTCAAAATCGACGTAAGTATTACTCTTATCTATTGTTTTATTAAACAGGGCTGAGTAGATCCGACTCAAAATTCTTCTCATTTTATTAACACTCTAAGGTAGCTATTAGACTAAGTCGAAACAGAAAATCTCTCGAACGCAGAACTTCTGTTTTGAGTACATAATTTTACTGCTACATGGCAATACTCTTATTTTCAAACAAAAAAAAGAAAGGTTGTTTTTAAATTTTCTAATTAAAGTCACCGCTACTTAATTCTGTTATTAAATTTTATTTTCTATTAAACAACTAGGTTGGTATCGTCAATATGATGCTCATAGAGATGATTTTATTGAAAGATATGGTAAAAGTACCGAACAATGGTTATTTCATGGTAAGTCATTATTTTTCTTAGATTTAAATCTGTACAATTATATTTAAAAAAAAGGATGTAAATCTCAATCAATCGATGCAATTATTAATGATTGTTTTAATCGAAGTCATGCAGTTCGTTATGGTAAATAAATCGAGTATAAAAAGATTTATCCCTTTTTTTATAATTTATTAATTGATTTAGCCGTGGGTCAAGGTATTTATTTTGCAACTGATGCTAGTATAAGTCTTAATTATACACAACCATCTCACAATAATACTAGACATATGTTTATGGGTAAGAATTTATGAAATTTAATTTTAATCTTGTTTAAACAATAGTGATTGTCTTGTTTTTAGCGCGTGTTCTAGTTGGTAGAACAACTAAAGGTGATCAAACAACGCGTATCTGTCCACGTGGTTATGACACAACGGGTGGAGGAACAGTTTTTGTAACCTATCATGATGCTCAAGCGTATGGCGAATATTTAATCGCATTTACATGATACTATGTTCTGTTGTCTATAATTCATAACTCTCTTTTTTTTGTGTTATTAAGCATTTTGATAGCATGATTTCATTGTGGAACTATGTTATGTAAACACGATTAAGTAAATGCTCTTGATATTGTCAAATTATTTAAATAAATTCTTCTAAAGATTAAAACGAATTGTTATTAGAAGTTTAAAACGTAAGAAATACTGATGTATTCAATAGATTAATCAGAAACAGAAGTTATAAATATTCAACGATAGATGTCATAAGGATACAATATTATATAAGAAATAAACCAAATATTACGTAACGTTATTAAAATTCATTTTTCAATTAAAATAATCTAACTGAATTTTTTGATGAAAAAATAATTTAGATAAAACATTAAATTTAAATCGAAATAAAAAAAAATAATAAAAAGTATTAGTCATCCTGTTACTTTTTTCAATCAGTCAAGGTAACATTTATAGTTGTGTTCTTTTCTTCAGTTAACTGTCAAGTTTGATAGTAGTTCTTTTTCAAAAGGTATAAACTTGTAATATTTCTTGTTGGTATCAAATCTAAATTCAAAATGGGTGCTACTTACGGACAACGCCAACGAGTATGAATTAAAATTAAACTTTTATTATAAATGATTATGTAATTTTTCTTCATTTAGAGTAAATTTCGTTTTCTTATGGGTATTAATGGTTTTCTATTAGCATTTGCTATATTCATTATTGTTTCTATGTCAATCTATTGGGGTTTCTTTGAAGAATGGACCATTTGGACGGATTACACAATGGCTTGGGTATAGATAAAATATTTGTTTAAACTTGTTCTATCTTAATTTAATCTGTTTTAGGTTGAATTTAATTTCTTTATATATTATTGGGATCGTTTAACAATTACACGTGCTTATCTCTCATTAATTTATATATATGGTTTTGTTTTACTTGCAAGTAAGTCAATCAAAAAGAGAAATAATACAGAATAATTTTATTTCGATTTAGTTATTGCATGTCAGATTCATGCGTATCGTCGTCGAAATATATTTCTTATGGAATATGTTCCATATACATTATTTGGTTTAGCTATTATAACAATACTTGGTGGTTTAGCTTGGTTTGCTGTAACAATGATTAATATGAATGCTGGATTTTTAACAAAAGAAACATTTTTACTTGAACGACTTCGTTTTAAGGGTAATGCTTTTAAAGAATTAAAATATCGTGAAGAATCATTTCATTTGGTTACATCGGGTCGTGTACCACCACGTGTTTTTATTTTAACTGCTTTTGTTAATCAGTAAGTATGAAATTTCGAATTTCGAATTTTTATTTTTGTTTTATTATTTTAAGACGTCAAAGAGATTTTCATTGTTGTGGTTGGAATTCTTATCTTGATTATTCAGCTTCATATAAGACTGATTTACCTGATACATGTTGTCATAAAGTTTGTAGATTTTTGTATAATATTTTTTTTAATATAAATATATTCGTTTTATTAGTATCAAATAAATTATGGTTGTGGAAAAAATATGTTGATTAATCCAGATCCAAAAATTGTAAATACACGTGGATGTGGTCCATTAATGAAATATTGGTATCGACGAGGTTTTTGGGAAAACATATTTATGAGTTTATTTGGAATTACTATGGGTGCTTATATGTTATTTGTATTTCAACGTAATCGAAAAGAATTCGTTCAATTACGTGATGAAGCTGATGATAGAAAACGAATTATACGTTCACATTCAATGGGATCAGTTCGTTCAACAACTAATAATAATTCATATAAAACTCCAAGTAGACCTAATAACCCACAATATCAATATAGTGGTTTGACAAGTTCACCATCGAATGGAATGGCTGGTGAAGATGATTCAGATAATAGTTCAAGTGTTCTTTATCAACCACCAACAATACCTAATCCAAATGCTTAACAAAAAAATGAAAAGATACTTTTTTTTTGTATATACATTTATTGTGTGAGATGTTAGAATATTTCAAAAAGATTAAATTTCTTTTTGATTTTTCGTAGGTTAGGATAGAAGTTTTTTTTCCAAGAACAGTTTCAGGAAATTTTTTTTTAAATACGAGAAGAATAGATTTGAGATGATATAATCGAACAGGTATGAAACAGTAGACTTTATATAGTATTTTAGTGATTAAAAAAAACAGTTAATAACACCGAGTTGGTTGATCATAGAACTTCTTATATTCATATCTACGATTAAATGAAATGTGTTCTTCTTGTTAATGAATATGTATATATATACATCTTTTTTTTTGAGATCTTTTAATATTGTTGTGTGCATTGATATTGATCTGATTTTTATTCACATTCCATTTTATATACACTTTTTTTTTTACAATAATAAATGAAATGTTAGTTCATCATATATATCATTCTAATGAAAAAATGTATTAATATTAAAAGATAATTCTGATGAACATCAATGTATATATAAGTTATAGTTCATTATCACTTTCTATTGAAATAATTGATGTTGACATATGACAACTAACATTTTTCTATTATAGAAACATAAATCAAAAGTAATAGTAATAAAAGTTTCTTTTTTCATAGTACAAACAACATTATAATTCTTTCGAGACACCAGTAAAAGCTTTTTTAGAATAATCAAATTAATTATGAATGATTGATTCAATTTATTTAGTCCTATATTTAGTTGCTATTTTATCTCATACAATTTTATCAAGATATTATATAGATAAATTTATTTCTTTTTTTTTTTACATCATGTCTCATGTTGATTGAATAGACATATAACATATATACATAAGAATTCATATACATGCTGTAGTTTATTTATAAAAGGTAAATTTGAAGATGTTGATGATCTTTGAGTAGACTATCGTTTCTGATTTAATATAATATTATTGAATAGGAAATAATATGGGATTCTGGAGTTTTGTTAATAAGACTTTTGCCAATAGGCAAAAGTTCACTATACTTCCGTCAACACTTCTCCTAGACTTTCGCCGATTGCATTGTGGATTAAACTCACATGTATCCTATGTTAATATTATTTTGTGATAATTGGTGAAAGTCTTATGGGTCACGTTCCGGTAACTCAATACTGATTATATTTTATCGACAGATTCTGTTTAATTAATTATATTTTTTGTATATCGGTAATATTTCTTTTTTTTTAGTAGTATGTCTATAAAAAGAACGATTAGTTTCCCATTAAAAGAAAGTTTATTTAATAATAGATAAGGCACTATCTCATCTATTAAGAGTAATATTTGTTCGGCAAATGATTGATAGTATCATCGTTGTTTAATTATTCATAAGTTTTATTTATTTCTTTGATATATGATTCTTTGAATAACAATCTAAGAGTGTTCCTCCGAAAAGAAATCTATCTCCGAAACAGGAAAAAAGAATATGTCGACGACACGAACTAATTAAGAGGCTTTAGACGATATAGGACGATACCCAAGAAATCATATTTCTCGCTCTTTATAAGTACTATTGAAGGGTATAAATAAGAATGAATGTGTATAAGAGATTGCCTTTTCCTCTCTCTTTTTTTCTTTTATTAGATTCTTATTTTATGAATGTATCAAGAATAACCTCGATTCACATTAGATCAATGAACCTTTATTATCGTTTATTAACAATACAAAGTTTATTTTATTCACAATTAGAACAAAGTAGACGATCAAACATCAATTATTATAAATATATTTACTGAGTTATTCATCTCATTTTTACATAGTAGAAAATTTTATTAAACATTTATTTATCGAAATAATACTGTCGATAACTATAAAACGCATTCTTATTGACTTAATTTAATCTCTATGCAACATAATATATCTTTGACAGTTATTCTAATTTCGTTTGGACAATTAAGTCTTAATATTAAACGCAATATATATTTCCTATAAATAACATATGTTAATATGTCAATAAATATTAATCCGTATTAGTTTAATTAATATTTTTTCATTGTAGATTATTTATTTAGAATGCCTAAAATACGTTCTCAACCGACAATGTTAGATTCAACTATTGAAAATAATTCAACCTATCAATTTAAAACTGTACGTAAATGTTGTCTATCATCAGAACATGAAGATATAATTCCTATACCAATTCAATTATTTCTATGGAGACAAACCAGGTCAGTTTTTTCTTGTTTATGTCAAGATAATTAAATATATAAAATATTTTTAGTCCATTTCTCAAACAAAAATTTGGCAGTTTAACCGATGCATCTTCTATTGTAAATAATCCTATTGATTTAAAATTTATATTTTCTTAATTTATATAGATATTTGATCGAGTACTTGTTCAAAATATCTTACATGGTCTATCACCTAGTCTAACCGATGCTATATCAAGTATACCAAAATGGTTATTGATTAAAGCCGTTAGTTTTATTTTTAATTTTATTAGCAAAAATAATTTTTTTTATTAGGCATTTCCACACGTTATGTATGCATGTTCATCTGTAATTGAACATAATATTCATATAGTACAACATCAATCAATTTCTACTATTCATCCATCATTAAATGTTACTCCATCAGCATCTCGTTCTCGTCTATCAACACAACTTCATGTTCCATTTAATTTTCATAATCCAACAACAATTCTGTCAACGGAAAATCCAATATTATTACCTCGTTCGTCATTATCATCAAGTAATCATTCATTAAATTCAATCGATATTCGTCTTTTTCATACATTACATCATCTTATTTTATATTCGAATGATCAACTTTTACCTTTAAATACAATACAATTATTTATTTATTTATTTACACCTTATATCAATACATATTTACATAATAATGAAAAAGATTTTTTATCAAATTCTAATCTTGTTCAGGGTATGCGTCTTATATGGCAACCATTATTTGAATATCGCCAACCAAATATTCGAATATTTAATACATTTATTAAACCTGTAGTTTTATCAAATGATCAGCAAAATCAAACATCTTCTACTGAACATGTTAATCAATGTCAACGTTTATCAAATGAAAGTGAACCAACAACACAACGATCATTATCTGACAAACAATTTTTATCTCATACAATAGATCGAACAAGTTTCATACGATCAAAATCAAATATTGAAAAAGAACAAAAATCAGATATATTTATACGTACTGATTCTATTATATCACCAACAACAAGTTGTAATTCTATAAATGATCTTTCGAGCTTTGGAATGAATGATAATAATATGAAGATAAAAGCTCCAATTGTACATATGAGTTCGATTTATTCAGTATCGGATTTAAGTCGATTAACACTGTCACCACAAAGTCCAGGTTAATTTATTAATTTTCTTTTATATGAAATAAATATCAAATAGACTTTAGTTTAACAAACAAAGTGTATAAACACTCGAAGAATGCTCAGTCAGACGTGTTCTCGTTCCTTATGAACGGAACGCTGACACCTCTAGTTTCTATACAAATATAAATGAAATGATATGTAAATAGAGTACTGCACGGAGTCATTTTCAGAGTCGCCGTCGGAGTTAGGTAAATTTCATGTCAATAATTCAACTTTAACGTTAAAGATTATTTAAGTTTATGATTTTGTTGTCCGACATTTTCTTTACAGACTGATGTCTTATTAAACCTCACAAACACAAAAGATAATCGGAGTCACTTTTGGCTCCGACTTTTTCTGTGTTTTATTTTAGTCCTTAAGATTCGCTAAGACGTCGACTGATCCTTGAAAATACATCAGTTTGTAGAGAAAATGTCGGGTAACAAAACCGTTAACTTAAATAATCTTTAACATTAAAGATGAATTATTGACACGAAATTTTTCTGACCTCGACAGCGACTCCATGCAGTATTCTATATCTGAACGACTCACTTTTTTTTTCTCACTCATGAGGTTATAGAGGATCGATTTAAGCATCCGAGATTCGCTTTTCTGCTTTGTATTCATCTCCCTTTCGTATATCTACTGTCATAAGAATGTACTCTTGATCATCATAATAGACTTATTTTCAGCTTATAAACTTAAATACTCCATCCATTTTTGTTATCATTCCCCTACGAAAAATAAACTAACTTTTCTTATATTTCTGTTAATTATAGTTGCCGATCATTTTAATATGATGTGTGGTATAGCATCACGACTTTCCACAACATCTGCTTCTCCTCCTAGTCGACAACCATCAGACACTTCAAATAATTGTTCAGTTTCTACACCTCCCATATCGAAAATACAAACATCTGAATATCTTTTACTTGCAACTTATTTTGATGTTGGAATTATACGAACATTATTCAGTCCATCATGGTTAACAGATGGTTATTTATGGTGTTTAGAATATTTATATAAACGTATAGTTGATATATCAGATAAGATTTTATCTGATGCTTTAATCAATGGTATATTACCAGTAAATATTCTTCGATTTAAAAGTCTTTCAATTCCACAAATGAATATAGCAAATAAAGAAAATTATTATATATATTTAAAAAAAAGTCATTTTAATGAACAAGTAACAAATGATATTATCGAACAACAATCGACAATGATGATGACACCAAATTTAATTAAACAACCAACTACATTATTGAATATACCATTTAAATATTCTTATGGAAAAAGTTTATTTAATGAAAAACATAATAATTTCTACCAGAAGATTAAGTAAGAAACAAAAAAAATAATTTCATTTATTTTTTTAAACTAAAACTTTTTCTTTATTGTATTAAAATAGAGAAAAAAATTTGTATACAAGAAGGTAACAAAAAATATCGTCATTTTGTAATCCTACTTTTTCTTATTCTAGTAAAATTCGTTATATTGATGAAGATGGTATTGAACATTTAGATTTAGCTAATACTGGTCGATATAATCATATCGGTATACCTTTATCATCATCAAAACATAGTCGTCTATATCCATCTGAAGCAGGTTCATTGTTATTTCAAACATCAATGACAAATTCTAAAGATATGAATCGTTCATCAACTGATATTGATTGTAATATAAAAAAATCATCAACAAATTTATATACAATGAAAACTTATAGTATTAGTGATTCAGAAATAAATTATAGATATTTATCCGAACTGAAAGAAGTACAAAGTTCAAGTGGATATATTAATCGAACTGGTACAATTAATTTTAGTGTTGTCTTAGCTGCAATACATTCTGTTATATGTAAAGAACATCATTTAAAAATTTGTGAATTAGTTATAAATATTCTTGATGTTTTATTTGGTTTATCTGTTATATCAACAACAGAAGATGATATGCATAGACAATATTTATTAAATAATAAAGATAAAAATATAAATGTAATAGATGAAAAAGAAAATGAACATTTAGAAGAATGGTTAAAACAAATGGATGCAAAAGAAGATGAAAAATTTCAATTAGCAGTTGATATTATATTAAGGTAATGATTAATCTTAAAAATTGGAGGGTGGGCGTGGGTTCAAATGAGAGCGAAGATGAGACTGAAATAGAGAGCTGCAGATCTACGATCTTTTGGATCCGAATCCGACCCAGATCCGGATTCTTTTTAACAATATATAGTACCCTCTGTCTGCAACAGAAAGCTACAGGTCCACGATTTTCTGGGCCTGGACCCAACCCAGACCCGTGCCCATACTCAGTCGGGTCCCGGGTCTATCTCGATGCGCAGCGTCCTAGATTGAAAAGTTTCATTTTGTTTCCAAACCCCTATCCGCATCTTTCGCATATCCATTTCTACGACAATTACCTCAAATTTAAAAGAGCTCACACCATGTAATAAACAATATTCTATTCTATATTTTAGAATACTCAAACGCCTAGGTTGTTCCAATTGTCAATCTCGTGGACGTAATTTTAATGCTGATCAGTTGCGTGGTAAAGTTCGTGTATCATTCAATAAACTTCGTTTACTGAATCAAAATCGATTTGAAAAGTAAAAAAAATTTAATTTTTAAAACTTTTTCTTATGTATCTTTCGCTTATAGATATTTTTTAAATTTTGCTATTAGTGGAAATCTTACACATATATTTGATATATTACATGCTCTATGTGATTATTGTTCGGAAACAACAGTTGGTCTTGCACATTATACACCTTATAGTAAATATTTCATTTTACTGTTTTTTTCTTTAACTTTATATTTATTTGCTTTAAGTTTCAACAAAATCTGAATCAAATACACGTCATACATATGCAAATAATTTTGGAAATACTCATCTTAGTATAGGTCCAAAAAGTATCGATGGTTTTATATTAAATATAATATTTAAACCATTTATTACACGTTTAAATATAATGGGAAAATCGTTATTAACTGCAGATAATATGCATTTATATATTGAATGTCGAGCTTTTTTAATGTTTATGAAAGAAAATCATGGTGGAATATTTCGTTTAACAGTTTTTTCATCATTAATTGATCCAGAAAAGGAAATCAAAATAATGCGTGATTCAATCAAACCAAGAATAGATAATAAAATAAGAGTGAGTCAATACCTTTTATTTTATTCCAAATGATAATTTGAATAGCCAATGAAGTACTCAATCAAATATTATGTATTAGATTGAGTACTTTATTGGCTCTTCAAATCATGTGGGATAAGATAAAAGATGCCTTAAACTTTTGACTCATATATATATATATTTGTATAATAATAGATTTCATTTAATCATGAGTCGTCTGATGATTTTAATGAAAATATTGATCAAGATTTACCAAGATCGAATATTAAAGAAGAAGTATCATCAATCAATAGTAAATTTAAAAGTAATGATAAAAACTATTTTTTGTTTTAAATTTTATTTAAATCATTAAACTGTTAGGTGTTACATTGGAAACAGTATCTTTAATGGAAGATGATGATCATAGTTTATATGAACATCCAGAAGAAAATCTATACATTGATTTAACACTTATTCGTATGGGTTTATTACGTTTGAATTTTATGTTAGAATCATGTCCACCAGGTTCAGTACCTGATCCACAATTTCTTAATAGTTTACTTATTTTGGTTTGTTTTTTTCTTGTTCTAATAAATTTCTTTTATCAAAATAAATATTTTAGGATGCACCAGTTCTATCTAAAGCGGCATTTCTTCTTGAATGTGCACAATTTGTTCGACGTTGTTCATTAGGTCAATGGCCTGAATGGATGCGTATGAATATTACAACACATCGTTTACATGAAACATGTTATGGACGTACAAGTGCAAATGCGAATACAAAATTAACTAAATTATATCAAGCAGCAGCAGCTAAAATGTTCTACATATGGGGTGATGTAAGTTATTTTATATCTACTTACAAAATAATATTAATTTAATTGAAAGGCTCTTTCATCTCAACTGGAAAGTATATTAGATACGGAAGAAAAACAAAATTTAGCAAAAGATTCATGGAATTATGATGAAACATTTGACGATTATTATAATGAAGGTATTATAAGAATGATTAAACATTATTCTGTTTCTCGTAGAGAAGAGTCCAGTATGAATAAATTGTCTGCTTGCTTGTGTGTCCGCAGGGTCAAAAAAACATCGAAAATCGATTTTTCAAAAGAGACATTTCTAGAGGTATTTCGATGCGGGGAGTTCAAATTTGAGATCTGTTGGGTGGCCATAATGAGAGGGGCCAAAGGTCAAAAAAACATCGAAAACCTATTTTCCACAGTTTTCAATTGTTTTTCCAGTAAATGCGAAGAGGATGCATTTCTACGAGAAAGAGCTAAGCGAGCCTTCGGACGAGCGCTACTTGTTTAATTATAAAAAAAATCATATATTCTTCTTTCTAGCAATTATTAATCGTTCAGGACATGATTGTCCATATTCATTAAAATTAATAGTTTGTTTACTTCTTTATGAAATCACATCATTTTTACGTGAAACATATGAAACATTACCAAAACTTTCATCATTATCAACAACAGGAATACATAATTCTCGACAACAACGAACTGCTCATTGTCAAACTACTACTGATACATCATCTACAAATATAGATAAACGTCCATCAGATGGTTTATGTATGAATAGTGTTGCTTCACAAATATCAAATAGAAGTACAGGTTCATTATTTTCAAGTGAACAACCAGCAAGTAAATAAAAACAAAATTTCTTTTAATTTTTAAATATTATTTTTTAATTCGAATAGTTTCATCACAAATGTTATCAGCAGCAATTGTCAATATGAATCCATTAGTATCTATGGAACGACATATAAGTTTTGCTGTTAATACAGAAAATGATTCAATGGAAAGTAATCATACAATAATTGTTGTCAATGATGATGATAATCTTGCAGTTGCAGATATCAATCCAGCATTAAGTATTTCGAAGAAAAAATTTTTTCTATATATTCTTTGTTTATTTTAGTACAAGTACCATTAAGGAAAACAGGAAGTATATGTAGTAACACAGGAAAAACAAAATTAATACGAAAAACTAGTGGTAAATTGAGAAAACCATCAATGAGATTGAAGGATCTCGCAAAAAGTAAGTTATGTTTAATATGACAGGATTATGCAGGGAACGGGGGAGGATCTTATGAGGCTACCTATAGTCTTAAGGGTCCTAGGATCCGCCTTGGGATTTTCAGTCTTTGGAAGGAGATGAAGCTTCATCTTCCTATGATTTCTCTTTAATCAATATACTTTATTGATTTTTTACAGCTATTCATCGTACATCATTTCGAATACGTAGTCGAAGTCATGTATCAAATATTTCAAGTGATGGTGATGTTCATCAAAGTAATACTGGAACATCAGTTCTTGAACCACCCGATGAATATCCAGTTAGTCCAGAAGATGATATTGATCAAAAAAACTTTGACTATTTTATTAAAACACGCCCATTTCCATGGATAAAAACAGTTATACGAATATTTAATAGTATTCAATTAACATGTAATCATGAAATGAAATGTTTATCAACATGTTATGATAAACAAACAAAAAGTTGTTCAAATCTTTTAAAAGCATTATTAAATATGTATCAATTATCATCATTAACTTCATGTTCATCATCAATACAAACACATACAAAACAATCGAATAAAAAACGAGAAGTAAATATTCAATTACTCGAAATAATATCATAAAAATTTTCTAAATAATAGTTTTCAAATTATTTATTTGGTGAACAAACAACTGATTTACCAACAGAAAAAGAAATGAATACATATTTTAAATCTAGTTCGACCTACATTGAAAAACAAGTTCGATTAATTTTATATGCGATAGAAATTTTTTTGTAATAATTCATTACTTTTAGGTTGGATCATTGATGCAAATTCCATTATTGATACTTTGTAAATCATCTGTTCTATTAGAAGATGAACACTATACACAAATTCTTCGTTTATCTTGGGAACTTTTACTTGAAAGAAATGAAGAATTAGCTGCTTGTGCAGGTAAATAATGAGTTTCTCTTTTGTGTAGTAAGAATTCTTATAATTTGGATGGCGAGACGTTACACATTAATTCTTATCTTTCTTCTTTTAGCTACAATTGTAATCCTAACAGCTGCTCGTGCTAGTCATTTAGTTGATACATTAATTCGTACAGAAATGGAAAATTCTTCTGCATTAATTCGTTATAATGCAATATTAAGATTTGAAATATTATGGCGATTTCGATATCAATTTTGGATACGATTAGAAGATGGTGCACATACAATGATGAAAGTATAAACACAAAAAACAAAAATATATAAAATTTTATTCATTTTTTATATAGATTCTTCCGCCTAGTATTGAATTTGTTTTACCATCAGCTGCACTTGGTATTGCTAATCTTCAAACAGTTGATCCACCATGGATACCGCATGTTAAAACACTTGTTCAACAAGTTGCACTTAATCAAGAAGAAGTTGTAAGAGAAATTTTGAAAGATAATAAAATAGAAAGTTAACTTTAAAATATTTAGCGAGCAGTTATGACAACTAGTAAAACAAGAAAAAAACATCAACAAGAATTTCTACATCTAGCATTAATGACTGAAGAAACAAGTAAACGAGTTGCAAGAGAAAATTTTATTATATCAACAGTTCCAATATTACCAGCTGCATCATTTGAACCACTTTTACATCAAACAAGAGATGAAGAAGAAGAAGGTTTAATATAATTCGATATCTGTTTTAATCTCGAAAAATAAATAATTCAATACTTTTTTCTATAGGACATGTAGATGATGATCGACTCAATGAAACAAGTATACAACTTCGACAAGCTCAAGGAACATTTCCATCAGCATTCAGTGCAGCCATTTTTCATCTTGTAGACATGCTTGAAGATGAAGATATTATTGAAAATGGTGCAGCAGGTATGTTGTAAGGAAAATAACTAATGAACGAAAGTGTTGAATACGAAAATCAACTAAATATACAGATAAGGCATGGCAAAAGTATTACAACTAATAGTTCATCCTATCTTTCACTTTGTGCTTTCATCGACTTGATCAAAGTTATTTAGAATAGTTAAACCGATTATATTCCATTTCTCGAAATTTGATAGTTCTCGCTTCCCGACACAGAATTTGAGAATCGACCGGAGATTTTTCACTCGACTAATTTATTGATTTACATAGCTATATGTAAACCTCATCCTATCTTCTAGAAATTTTCTAGACATATGCGTGCAGAAACATCTAATAAATATAGCGTTTTTATTTCAGTTTCTGAAGCAGCTCTACAAGCTCTTTGGAGTTGTTTACTTGAAGATCCAACATTACTTGTTCGCTTTTTCTTTGAAAAACTGTTACATAAAGAACGTCGCGTAAGTTTAATTTCTATTCTTTTTATATTTACTTATTCAATAAATAGTTACAATCACTTCAAAGTCTTCGTCGTCTTATCATATTTTTAACTGATATTCCATGTCAATTTGCTCATGCAATTTTTAATTATGTTCTGGGTCTATTATTAAGTATGTCACGTTCACCAATTGATGGTTCACAAGAATTATTTATAGCTGGTCTAACATTATTTTGGCAAATCATTCCATTTGTTCATGGTCTTATTTTAAAAGATTTAAAACAAATTCTACGTAAAGAACAAGCTGAAATGATGATATTAATTACAGGAAATATTCCATCAACAAAAAAAATTATTATTCATGGTCCTGATGCATCACAAATTCCAACACAAGCAATCATTTCTGAAGATACACAATTTACTAATGTTCTACAAGAAGCATTAGAATTTTTTGGTATACCTGAATCTAAACGTGATCAATATCATTTAATTGATATAAAAACTCAACAAATTCGTATACCTGATACATATGTACGAGATTTTTATTTTTTTCGAAGAAATATTTATCCTCAATTATCATTAGTTTATATGGAAACAAAACAATCACAACGACAACTTGAACAAGCAGCTATACAGATAAAAACAATTGAATTATCCAAAGTTTTATTTGCACGTTATTTACTTGAAAATACACCATTCAATCAAGTACATAATTGTATTACATTTTTTCATAATGAAATTCTTAAAAGTCCATTATTTCCACGAAAACAATTAGAATCAGATTTTAATTTATACACAAAAATATCAAATAAAGAATTATTCAATGTAGATATGTTACATAAATATAATTGGTATGTAACGTTTTACAAACTCTTACTAAGATATTTTATTGAATTCAAAACTACTCATTACGGGTTATCGGAATTTTTTCAATAGGCGGAAGTACAGTAAAGATCCGCCACTAACGAAAGTGCTATTTGATACAAGTCTTATTGACGAAAATCTGGAATTCCTTGTTGTGGGTGTGAGTGCATAAGTTAGAGAGCGGCGGGACCGGGTTTTTTTGTCCCAATCTCGATCATGTTTCACTTGAACGAAACCCGTCCCGATCCCGTTGAAATAGGGATCGGCGAAACCACGACGCCCCATAGTACAAGTCATTCTTCTCATACTACACACCCACACCTACACCCACCCACTAAATTCTTTTTGTCGGATGTTTTAGTTTCACTAAAATATTTTTTAATTTTAAGGATAAAATTAATTGGATGCATATTTTTCAATATGGATGGTAAAACAAGTACAACATCTGATATAACTTTATTCCTTCCTATTATTAATGGTTCATTTATATTACATTGTGAAGATTCAGCTATGTTACGTTTTTGTCTTGCAACTTATATAAATATTGTGAAACATTTTCGGCACATATTTGCTACAAATGGGTAAAATATCAATTTGATTTGTTTTTTTCTCGTCTTCATCTAGTATTTATTTACATTTAAGATATCTATTGATAATGCCAACATTTCTTCGCGTTTATTCAAATCTTCAATCAAATCCAATGTTAAAAAAATCAATTGAATTTTGTTGTAAACAATTTTTTATTTTACATCGTATACCATTTCTATTACAAATGCTTGGTAGTATATCACAATTATTTGATTTTGATGAACGTTCTGATGTTATTAGTAAAAATGCTATTCAATCAACAGCATTATTTCGTTTATTAATTGCATTAGAACAAACGAAAATTGATACTATACAAGATGATTATTCAATATTAGAATTAGTTAAAATTGATCCATTAACAACAAAAATAAATAATCTCTTATCAACAGAGATACCTCCTACAACAACTACACTTGGACAAGGAACTGTCAGAACATCGACAACTATTAAATCATTAGATTTTTGTTATGCAGATGATGATAATACATTTACATTACTTAGCTGTTTTGATGTTTGCGTTACTGTTGGTAAGCAATAATTTCAACAAAATATCGCTTTATTTTTCATCGATCACACAACTTACTTTAGAGCATAGAATTTCAATAAGACTTGAGTTATATATGATCTCTAATAATACCTTGAAGCCCAGCGTCACAGTATGTAATAATCTTCAGATCATATTTCGCACATCCTGTGTTGACTGCGAGAGAATGTCTATCACGACGTTTAATAGAGGCCATTGATTCTGTCGGTTACGGTTTATGGGTTCGAATCTCTATTCCTAAACACTTCTTTTAAATCGTATTTATATGGGCACTATCTCTCAAATTTGTTGAGCTCATTCAAATGCTTGAATAGAATTGAATCTCATAAAATCAGCTAGTCGATAAATCGTCTATATTGAATTTCATATAACTATGAAATATAAAAATTCATATTAGAAGTAATATCTTAATATTTAGTTGCATATGCACCTGATTCAATTCGTTCATTACAAATGCTTGGTATGATCGATGTACTTCTACCAAAATATTTAGAATATATTAAAGATCGTACACTTAAAAATGATATTCAAAGACAAGGACGTGAAGAAATGAAAATTATTGAAAAATTATCTACTGCTTTTAAAACATTGATTCATTCATTAGAATCTTTAACACGAACATTTGTTGAACCCAAATCTGATTCATCAATAGGTGTTCATCATAAACATCCACGGGCTTCTTATTGTTCATCTCCTATTGCACCAGATGAAGATTCTGTAAGGTAAATAATAAAACAGAAAAAAATAAATTAAAATCTTCATAATCTTTATTATCTAGTCGATTTATTGATGATCGAACAAAAACTCGAGTACAAGATGCTGATGAACTTAAACAAGTATCTGAATTCCGTTGGCCACGTCATACACTCTTATCTATTATGTCAAATTTTATTTATTTAACTACTCCACGTGTAAAAGAATTAATTAAATTAATAAATGATCCTACATTTCGTATTTCAGAATTACTTGATATTAAATCTCATATACGTCTTGCTGATATAGCTCATACATTATTAAAATTAGCTAATTTTGATCCAGTAACATTATCTTGTCATGGTATACAAGATTATTTTCAAAAATTAATACCATGTACCGATTGGAATCAAGAACAATTACGATTAGCATTAAATCTCTTATTAAGACGTATTGATCGGATGTTTTCAAAAGTTTGTAAAAAACCATTAATTAAAGTAAAATACACAAAAAAGAAGATAAATGAATATTTTATATGAATTCTATTTTTATCTTAGCGTTGTTTTGATTGGGAAGCAACAGTAGAAATTTTAAATGGAATTTATTTAACAATTGATCGACATCCATCTGTCGCATATTTTCCAAATTTAAAAGTAAAATTAATGAAATTTATTTCTAATCATTTTTATTTTTTTAAATTAGGCATTAATTTCAACATGTATTAGTTTAATAATTAATGAAAATATATCAGATTCAAATCAAAATATGTTTCGTTTGGACATACCAACATTTCCAAAAGAATTTTCTCGTACTATTATTAAACTTGTTGGACGATATTTATTAGCTATTAAAGTATAGAAAAACATCATTAAGAAATACCAAAAAAAAACATAATTTTTTTTTAGAATCAACCAAATTTAGAAGCATTAGTTAATCAGAATTTTTCATCAACAAATGTTTTATCAACAATAAATCATTTATTACATTTTCTTTTACCACTCATGTTTTCAGCAAGTAGTGGACGAAAAGATGCACCAAAACTTCATGTACTTGATATTTCATATATTATTACAATATTAATCAATACAATTAAACCACCTTCAAAACTTGCTGTTACGATGGGTACACAAAATGGACCATCCGGACAAGGAACTAGTAGTGGAAGACAACATTTAACTGTTACAGAAAGTAATGCACCAAATAGTAATTTATCTCATAAAACAATAAGACAACTACGAGATCTTTTACAAACAGCATCATTATTAGGTTTAAAAATTTTAATAATTGGATTTGGTAAACACTTAAAACGAGAATGGCAACGTATTACACAAGCTATAAAATCCATATGTAACAAACAATCAAATATATCTTCAAATCTGCTATTATTCATTGATTTTCTGGTTTCATATAAAACACCAATATATCTTATTCTTCGACCATTTCTTATGCATTATGTATAATAGACAAAAAAACCAAATAGTTTTCTTATTTAAAATTGTTTTTTTATTCTCTAGTTGCATTCAGTAACATCAGAAAATAGTTATGATTTTGAAATGATTACACATATACAACAGAAAATTATTTTCGAAAAAATACCATTAGCAAAATCAACAGGCGAAATTTTAACTGAACTTAAAAAAGAATTATATCAATTAAAAGTTGATCTAACAGGTAAAATTAATTTTTTATACAAAATATAAATATTGAATTTATTTATATTTTCTAGATGAATCAAAAATTTTAGCTTCTTCTGATATACGTTCGATAAGTACAGGAAAAGTTCGATTTGATATGGATGCATTTGAACACATGAAAGATCATGATGATATTACAGCAAGATTAAATACTGTATCAAATATTGCTCGAGCATCAAATGTTTATCGTTTACGACGGCAACGATTCAGTGATTTTAGTTTAAATGGATCAACGAAAAGCAGAACTGAAAAGATTCGATTAAAAGATGCATTAGATATTCTCGAAACGTATCAAGCACGATATAGAACTCGATGTTGTGGTAAAAATATTTACTATTTAAATGAAAAATGATTTTTATTCTAAAGGATATTGTAGAAAAAAAGTAATACACATTTTCTATGAAAGACATTGATACATTAGCAGATCTCTATTTCGTTTTTAAAGAAGACATTACTTCTTGAAGTAAAGATTCAACGATTAATTCATCCACTTTAAATAACGTATAGGAGGAATCTATCTTTAGCGTCGTTTATTGAATAGATACTCATTAAATTGACTTCAAGTTATCATTTATCTATCACCGTTTTATAACAAAAACTTCTAATTTCATTCTGATATGTAATTGTTATACAATAAACTTTTAGGTACTGATACACCAACAAAAACAACCGAAGATATGACATTAAAATATTTATCATCCATAACAGATGATAAAAATAGATCTATGTCAGTTGGTAAATAATTATTTGTCTTTGTTTTTTTTTATCTTAAGATTCTTTTTGTATTATAGAAAGTTCAAATTTTCTATCACCATCAAATTCTCCAATGTCAATAATATATTCAGAAGCAGCATCTAGTGATCAAAACTCTCCAATTATGGATTCTAATAATCCAACTAATGAAGATAATTCAGATCAAAGTCGTATTAATAATCAAAATGCTTCGAGATTACGAATATTTCGTGGATGGAAACGAAATGCAGCACATTTAGAAAAAACTCGATCACCAAAACATGCACCGCAACCACAGGTAAATTTTCTTATATTCAAAATCTCTCTTCCAATTCATTTATATTCTAACATAGGTACCAAATGAATCAAGTATAGCATCTAATACTACTTCAGTAATCAAAAATCTATTCCAACCGATTAGGTAATCATATCTGAAAACAACGGATAGATCAGTTTTTTGTTGTTCAAAGGATAAATAATTAATCTACATCTGCTGAAGTTTTTAGGTACTTTTTCTTATGAGTATGTTCGATTAACTGCGGTATTCTTTTAGAGATTTTCTGTGATTATGTCTGTAAGAAGCGATATACTAAGAGAATCTGGTTAAACTAAATAAGCTATAATCTCGTCTCATGGCGTTTTATAAGTTAAGTTTGATAGATAAAATCTATAGTTAATAAAAAATACTGATATCAGATAATCAATTGATAAGTCTCGAAAAATGTGATAGAATGCGTAATCTAAGAAAATATATTGAATTCTCGTAGAAATACGAAAACAGCTGTTCGAACTAATCAAACGATTAATTTAACTATTATGAAGAATGACAAAGTAATCTATCTATCTATCATTTCCAATTGGACATAATAATAGACTCACATAACCTCCGTCCCCTAGAATAAAAGGCCATGCCCTTATGCAATGTCTCGGTGCATTGCTAGTTCTTTAGTAACCTTCTACCGAGGGTTATTTTTTTATTGAAATATAAATCTACGAAAAAGTATACTCGAAAACCAGCTATATCTCTATAGATATTAATTAATTAACCTAGGACGTTTAAACTCTTACTCAGATATGGCAATGATTTCTATTATTCTCTTTCATTTAGACAAGTTAGTGAACAATACTCTATTTCAAATATCAACGAAGAAAATTCTGATTTTATTGATACATCAACTACTTCAATGATTCCTTTAAAAGAAATGACTTCAAAGCAACGCGAATCACAATTATCTACGATTAATGACGATGATGAATCAAAACTTTGAAATAATTTTCTGACTATAGTTTAATTTTTGATTTTATTTCGGAGTAATGAATTTTTGTTAAAAAGAAAAAGAAATAATATGTAAAAAATAAAATATATGTTCGTGTATTATTTGCTTTTTTTCTTGCCTTTGCCTTTCTTTTTCTTTTTGGCTTTGAGACCCTAAATGAATGAATGAATGAATAATAAATATTGAATAGAAATTATATATATATATTAAACAATTACCTTTCGAACTTTGTAACCTTGCCAGAAACGTTGAATTTGTGCAGCTGCTCGCCAACGTCGTTCGCGTAATGCTTTTTCCATTGCCGCCTGTTGTTCTTCAGCTTTACGTTCAGCCATAATCTATTAAAATAAAAGGTGTTTATTTTTTTTTACGAATTTATGCGCTTATTATACTTTATCATATTCTTCTTTCAATTTTTCAAAACGTTCTTCAAGTTCTATAAGTAAACGTTTTTCTTCTGTATAAGCCGTTTCAATTTCATCGTATTCATCCTAAAATATGTATAATTCATTATGAAATATTATTATAAAGTAAAATATTCACTTGTTTTTGACGCATTTCATTATCATATTTTGTTAACCATGTTTCAAGTCTAGAGAAAAGAAATGACAAATTATGATTTGAATTCTTGCTAAATGCATTTTGTTAAAACATCGGCTGGAGGATTATTTCTTTAGAACTTGATTTTTCCTCTATGATCTTTCTTTGGATAGGATCTTGATGCCAAGTATTGTCTTTGTCTTCTTCTACATACTAACTCTAATGATGAATATATTACACGCTGAAATTTCCGTTAATCTCTATATTAACTTTCATTTTTGTATAAAAAAAAGTCAATTATTCGAATATAGTTATCATTTTTCTTCTCTATGTTTCTGTGTACATCTGTATTTGACAACTAACAATTAACTACGAATATAACGACATAGGAGTTAAATGATACATTTTATTCAATTTATATATGATTGTATTCGAGAAGAGAGAGAGAGAGAAAAAAAATATTGTTATTACACTATCATCTATATATCACTATTCAAGGAAAGGATAATCTTACCCTGTTTCTTGACGCCATTTTTCTTTACGTAAATCTGTTTCAGTTTTTTTATTTCGTTGTTGTTGTTCTTGTAATTTTTGTCGACACATATTTATATCTAATTGTAATTTATGTCTATAAATATAGAGATTAATTATAAATAAAAAAGAAAGACTGAAATGTTAATCATACCGTCTGCCTTCAGAATTTTTTGTTTCAGACATTTCAGCTGATTCAGTTTCCATTCGAATACGTTTAAGTGTTTCTTGTTGAGTACGCTCCACATTATTAAGATCCGATTGAATCTTACGAATTTCATCATTACGTGCTTTGATCTTTCAATAAGAAAAGAAAAGAAAATGAATTGGCTTCATTAATGATATATATATATATATATATAAGGACAAGACGGAAGGAAAAAGTAATATGAGCACTTTCATGTTTCTTCTATCTTGTTCCATCATGTAAGTGATAGGTGAAGGATTACAGTGAATATCAACATACGTATTAACGACTGATGTTGCCTAATCCATTAATGCATTAGTGCGATTAATCGTATGTAGGAATCAAGAATAAGAGAAAATGGATAACCATCTGTTAATGTCGCCTTCTGTGCGTGCTATATAGATAATCTTGTGTTAGTTAACCACTCTATTTCTGGTCTGTCTCCCGTGTCCGTTTGACCTCTCCTTAGAGAGAGAGAAAGGGAAGAAGAAGAAAAAAAAACGACACATATGCAGAATACATTCATTAAGTTTGCTATATCAATCATTTGCTATTCTAGAGGAATTGATCTTCTTCTGTTTATCTATCAGTGCAAACTAACAATAATATATGAATTCATCATCGTATGATCTAAATTTATCAATAGATATCGTAGAAATGCCTGAAACAATATTAATGACAACAACCGATCAACCATTAACAACAACAACGACAATGGAAGATATAGATATAAATACTGATGAAAGAAATCAATTAGATGATCCACCATCAACTTCAATACGTAAGCAAAAATATGATAATTTATTTTTGTTTTATTTTTCAAAATTTAGAACATACAGATGATGTTCGATTGATAAAAGATCAAACACAAAAATCATTAATATCTGTATACGATAATAATCCTCAACAACATACAACGAATAATTCATATTCATTAGTTGGTATAATTGGTCGAAATAAACGTTCAGAAGCATTTCGAAAACGTCTTTTATTATCTGGTTTTCCAAAACCAATTTTATGTGATATAAATTCAATGAATGAAATGAATTCAACAAATTATGTATCATATGAAATATTTTATGAATTGTCTCCATCAATTATTCTTATAACAGATAATTTAACAACAAATTTCGAAGATTTATTTCCGCAAGATAAACAACAATTAGTCATTGATACACGAGAAATATTTTCGAACTATTTTTCAAAAAAATCTTATGTTGCATTACCAACTATTCCAGGTTCATATCGAGCTTTTGGAAATTTATCAAATTGGGAAATTGAAAACGGTACACAACGTATTGGAGTTGCTATTGAACAATATTCACCATTAAATCTTATTAAATTTATTAATGATTTAAATTGTTTTACACATGGAATTTATTTCCTTGATAAATATTCATATAATAATGAACGAATAAAAGTATTTCGTAATTGCTTATTTCCATTGATATCAACAATAATTATATTTACATTATATTTTATTCTATCAATGATAGAATGTAATCATGAAATATATAATGCAGTATTAATCTATCGTCAAGCAAGTTCAATAACAGCATCAACAAGTATAACATTACTGGCCTTATTATTTCTAATAAGACCATTACTTGAATTCATTGAATTTACTTATTCAAAAACATTCAAAATACACAATCTTGATAGTAAAAATATTTGAAACTTTTAATTTTCTTAAAATTCTTTTTTTGCTATTGTAGAAAATGTTATACTAAATTTACCAATTATTCAGCATTGGCTTCAGTCAAGACGTTATTTAGTATGGTATTCATTATCATTTGCTTTACTACATATTATATTTCTTATATTTGCAAAAATTGATTTCGATTCAAAATTATTAGTTAATGGTTTCTTTTTTGGTATATTTACTTTAATCTTATTAAGTATTCTATCCTATGTTCATTTTCCATGGATAAGTGAACGTCTTTTATGGAATGAATATTATCTGTTAACATCTTATCTCGGACCATTTTGTTTATTAATTGCTTTTATTCATGTTGTTCTACATTGGAAATCAAATTTAAATTCATCGAATTTAACCTTTCTCTCATTAATACTATCATTACTTGTACTAACCTTACGTTTTCTTATCTATGGAATTCTACATCCAATTATTAAACTCATTCATTGGTTAGACAATCGGCAATTTCATCATAGAACATCAACAAGAAATACATCACTATTACTATAAATGTATCATTAGGATATTATTTATTCTTTTGTGTGTGTGTATGTGTGTGTGTATCTATATAGGAATAAGTATGTAAAAAGAAAGAAGAAGATAAGTCATCAATGAACAGATGGTCAATAATATCTGTGTATGCAACAGATGTAATGTATCAATGACAAACAATAAAATAACGAAAAAAATCTTCTAAACATACCTCGGCATCACGATCAGCAATAGCATCATTAAGTTCTTTTTCAAGTTTAGCAATAATAGTTTCATTTGATGATAAACGTGTATTTAAACTTTTTATTTGATCATCTTTTTCACGTTCTTCAAGTGGTGTTGTTAAAAATCTTTCCATTGCTGAATCTCTTAACATTTTTAATAATTCTAGACAAGAAAAACAAAACGGTTTTTGTTTTGTTTTAAATTAAATATCAAATACAAACTTATGACATGTTTTTGTGGTGGTAATAATTTTTTACTTTGTAATATACGTTTAATATTATCAAAATGATTTTGTTGATGAACAAGTCGACGAAGTATATTACGAATAGATTGTTGAATATAATAATGATAAGCAATTTGTTCATTTACATTACGTGATAATGCTTTATCAAAACATCGTGTATAATTTTCAAATTGTGGTAATTTTTCTAAAAGAAAAAAATAAATTTTGATTAATTAAAATGAATATTTACCGATAATATTTGTAACAGATTGAAGTGGTGTATTTGTTTCTAAGGCATGTTTCAATTGTTCATGGCGATTTATTTCATTCATTGTTTCTCTAAATAAATCAAAAAAAGTTTTAGAAGGAATTTTAATATGAACTTACGTATCAATAGTTGATTTAAATAAATCTGCATGTGAAACAATAACTGGTAAAATTTCAATTAATTCCATTTTTTGTACAAGATCATCAAAGACGACCATGATACGTTGAGTTTCAATGGTTGATAATTTCTTACGCGCCGGTTCATGTAAACGTAATGGATCAAGTTGAAGACGAATTGTTTTCCCTGCCGGTGGTGCACGGGATTTATTCGATGACGAGACCATTGATGTTGACGTCATCGTTGTTTCAAATCAAAGGGGAAATACAAAATTAACTTATCTAAAAATGCAAAGTATTGGTAACAGCTGTTGAGACATTAATAAAACACAATATATAGATAGATGCGTAAAAAAAAGAAACCGCCATACTTATTAACTATGCAGTGAGTAGAAGTACTTTTTTTTTACTCTTATGCCTATTTAGAATTTGTTTATTTAGTATTAATTTGGTTTTTCTCGTTATTTTAATGATAACTCATACGTATTGTATACATCAACTAGATAGTACTATCTCAATTCCAGTAACTGCTTTTGAATATGATCTATTTCGATGGCCACATCCAACACAAGAATGTGATACTTTTCTCGAAGGATTGAAACATGACAATAGTGATCCTAATTCAAGATATAATCTTAAAGCTGATTGTAACAGATTTAAACTTGCTTTCGCATGTTATAATAGTTTTTATTCATCTTTGGATCTTGATACAGAAGATGGACGAGAAGAAAAAAAAGATTTGGATGAACATGATCTTGGTTATATGGAGACACAATGTGCCAATGTTTAATTACTATTTCTTTCAAAAAAACAATTATACAGTATTCACACGATTTAATAGATACATAGACTATTCATTATAAATAAAAAATAAAATCTTCATATGAAAATAAAAGATTAGAATATTTGATTGTTTTATCATAATATCATAGAATACTACTAATGCATCTCATATAAGTTATATATAAGAAAAACATATCAAATAAGTTGTTTTATACTTAATATTGAGAGACATGGGTAATGTATTAGCTTGTCAGAGATTCTTATTTCTTTTTATGATAGATAAGTATAATTGCATCATTATATTTCTATAGTTCTAAAAGAGCATGGCGTTTTATTTTGTATTCTTGCCTTCAGTCTACACATAATAAGATAGGACAGTATCATCCTACTGAACTCAACTAATTAATCAAGTCGTAAGGTTTCTCTTATATCTCTTAAAAACAACGTAATTTCAAGTGCATTGCACTTAACAACAATCAGATAAACATCTAATTTATATGAGATTTATTGAATTTAAAAGTGTATATTTGCACAATGAATTCCTACAAACTCTTATTTTCCAGTTTCTTCAGGCTCAAAGTATCGTTATAAATGTATTATCCTGAAAATAAGAAACAAATACTGTCAGCTTTGTTATAATCTCCGGAATTATCTCTATTAATCTCACAGATGTTTCCTACAATTCACTTATAGATGTCCTTATTACTACTCCTGTTCATAATAAAAACCTGATTTTGATATAGGTAAATTCGTCAACAACAATTCAACATACCTAAAAATTGTTTCAATAATAAATGGCGTCTCTATGCCATTACTTTTGCAATATCTATAGTAACTATTTTTCTTCTCATTTTATAAAACAAAGTGCATAAGTATGTTGAAAACAAATGATTATATATGAAAAAAAAATCTTTTATTTTAAACTAAAAAGAAAAAAATGTATTTTTATTTTTCTTGTTTTTTTATATATTTATAAATTTTCTTATTGAAAATATTTTTCTAATGACTATAGACATTCACATGAATAAAGTTTATCGTAGAATAAAGAAGAAGAAAAAGACTATCTAGGGTAATTTTCTCGTCCATTCGTTCATCATCTCTCTCTCTTGATCACATTAACACTCTAATGTAAACAGCTGACAAATATAGGAGCTAGAATAAAATATACCCTGTATATCGATATCTATATATACATATCGATATACCCTCGTTGGACTATTCTAGTCTATTTCTTTCTTATTTTTCGTCCGATTGGAATTCTTCATAAACATTTACATTTCGAATTTTATTTCATTTATCCTGATTTTTTTCTATCTAGAGTGTATATAACACTGAAAAATGACCAACAGTGAAGAACTCGCTATAACAACAACATCAACTGCAATTATTGATACACATGCTAATGCAGCTAATACCAATACTAAATCACTTCTTGATGATCCAAATTGGAAAGAAAAATTGAAATTACCACCTAAAGATAATCGACCAAAAACAGCCGATGTTACAGCAACAAAAGGACATAATTTCGAAGATTACTGTCTTAAACGCGAATTACTTATGGGTAAAATTTTTAAATCTAAAATTTTTGTAAATAATAAAACTATGTTTTTTTTTCGCAGGTATTTATGAAAAAGGCTGGGAAAAACCATCACCAGTACAAGAACAATCGATTCCAATTGCCTTAACCGGTCGTGATGTTCTTGCTCGTGCAAAAAATGGTACAGGAAAAACTGGTGCCTACACAATTCCAGTTATCGAACGAATTGATCCAACTAAAAATGCAATTCAAGCTGTTATCTTAGTTCCAACTCGTGAATTAGCTTTACAAACAAGTGCTATCTGTATGGAACTTTCCAAACATATTCAATTACGCGTTATGGTTACAACTGGTGGTACATCATTACGTGAAGATATTGCTCGTTTACAAGAAGTTGTTCATATTGTTATTGCAACACCTGGCCGTTTGTTAGATTTAGTTAATAAGAATTTAGCTAAAATGGATTCATGTCGTGTAATTGTATTAGATGAAGCTGATAAATTACTTTCACAAGATTTTAATCATTTATTAGATGAACTTTTATTTGCTATGCCAAATGATCGACAAGTTATGCTTTTTTCAGCTACATTTCCATTAACTGTTGATGATTTCATTCGTAAACATATGAAACAAGCATATGAAATTAATCTTATGGATGAATTAACACTTAAAGGTATTACACAATATTATGCATTTGTACAAGAACGACAAAAAATTCATTGTTTAAATACATTATTTTCAAAAGTAAATTATTTACAAATTAAATCATATTTGTATTTTTATTTTTTTCATTTCGTTTAGTTACAAATCAATCAATCGATTATTTTTTGTAATTCAACACAACGTGTTGAACTTTTAGCTAAAAAAATAACCGAATTAGGTTATAATTGTTATTATATACATTCAAAAATGCGTCAAGAACATCGTAATCGTGTTTTTCATGATTTCCGTACTGGTCTTTGTCGTAATCTTGTTTGTTCGGATTTGTTTACACGTGGTATTGATATTCAAGCTGTAAATGTTGTTATCAATTTTGATTTTCCTCGTTATAGTGAAACTTATCTGTAAGTAAAATTATGAATTTTTTTGGAAATATTTAAAAAACAAATTTTTGTTAATTTAGTCACCGTATTGGTCGTTCCGGACGTTTTGGCCATTTGGGTGTTGCCATCAGTTTAATCACCCATGAAGATCGATTTTCTGTACACAAGGTTGAACAAGAATTAGGTACTGAAATTATACCAATTCCACGTCACATTGATGAAAATCTTTACGTGGCTAAAGGCCCATCTATTGAACAATCATCCGAAGAACAACAACAACAACAATAATAATCCGATAAATGAACAGTCAGATATTTTTTTTCGTTCTGTATGTGTGTGAATGTTTTACTAGTCAAAAAACAAAACTTTTGATGATTTATAAGAACAGATATATGATGTGTGTGCACAATTTTATTCTACATTTTTTTCCTTACTCTTTCATTTGACTTTTTTTGCTCTTTTTTTTGACCGATTGTTATTCTTGTTCTTGCATTAAAACGTTTTTTTATTTTATGGATAAAAAAAAGATACGAAAACATACTGAAAATAAGAAAACGTTTATTATTCTACTTTAGATATATATACATATATAAAATATCTTCGACTAAATTGACAATTTGAATAACAAAACCTTCATTGATATTTGTACATAAATATTTTGTTTTCGTTTATTATCTCATTTCTTTTTACTACTATTTAATTATGATTAATTCATCAACTGAAGGTAAATCTTCACCTTCATTAGCATTTTCTTCGACAAATACTACTGCTGGTAATGATAAAACAAACATTAATAATGGAAATTCAACATCAACAATTAATAAAGATGATCCAGATTGGAAATCAAAATTGAACATTCCAGAAAAAGATAATCGTGCTAGAACATCGGATGTTACCAATACAAGTGGTCATGATTTTGAAGATTATTGTCTTAAACGTGAATTACTTATGGGTAAATTTTCAATTTAAAACTTTTCTTTCGTTTTTTTCTAAATAAGAATTTTTCTAGGCGTTTATGAAAAAGGTTGGGAAAAACCATCACCCATTCAAGAACATTCAATACCCATTGCTCTAACCGGTCGTGATGTTCTTGCTCGTGCAAAAAATGGTACAGGAAAAACTGGTGCATACGCAATACCTGTTATTGAACGAATCGATCCAACTAAAAATGCAATTCAAGCTGTTATCTTAGTTCCAACTCGTGAATTAGCTTTACAAACAAGTGCTATCTGTATGGAACTTTCCAAACATCTTCATTTGCGTGTTATGGTTACAACTGGCGGTACAGCATTACGTGAAGATATTGCTCGTTTACAAGAAGTTGTTCATATTGTTATTGCAACACCTGGCCGTTTATTAGATTTAGTTAATAAAAGCTTAGCTAAAATTGATGCATGTCGTGTAATTGTATTAGATGAAGCTGATAAATTACTTTCACAAGATTTTAATCATTTGTTAGATGATGTTATTTATCATTTACCACAAGATAGACAAATTATGTTATATTCAGCTACATTTCCATTAACTGTAGATGATTTTATTAAGAAACATATGCGTAATCCATATGAAATCAATCTTATGGAAGAACTAACTCTCAAAGGTATGGAAATTTTAAAATCCATGAAAGAAGTTTTCGCTAGTGAAAATTCATTTATAGTAAGACCGGTTAAAGTCTGATATGAAAGAACTGCAAAACAGATCTACATTGTAATCATTAAAAAGTAATTCGGCCACGAAGACTTCTTAGGATTTCTCCGCTTTATTTTTCATTCTGAGATTTCGTCAGACATTCTAAACAAATTTTCTAATGAGAAAAAATTGCTCAATGATCAACATATTTATCTTTTTTTTCTTCTAAGGTATTACGCAGTACTACGCATTTGTACAAGAACGTCAAAAGGTTCATTGTTTAAATACATTATTTTCAAAAGTAAGTTATAAACAAATCAATCCTATTTTTATTTTTATTTTTTTCTTTTCATTTAGTTACAAGTGAATCAATCAATTATTTTTTGTAATTCAACACAACGTGTTGAACTTTTAGCTAAAAAAATAACTGATCTTGGTTATTCATGTTATTACATTCATTCAAAAATGCGTCAAGATCATCGTAATCGTGTTTTTCATGATTTCCGTACTGGCCTTTGTCGTAATCTTGTTTGTTCGGACTTATTTACACGTGGTATTGATATTCAAGCTGTAAACGTTGTTATCAATTTTGATTTCCCAAAATTAAGTGAAACATATTTGTAAGTTTTATCGAGAAAAAAACCCAAAACTCATTTTTTTTTTTGTTCTATTTTAAATTAGACATCGTATTGGTCGTTCAGGTCGTTTTGGCCATTATGGTATTGCTATAAGTCTAATAACATATGAAGATCGTTTTTCATTACATAAAATCGAACAAGAATTAGGTACAGAAATTCAACCCATACCAAAACAAATTGATCCATCACTTTATGTTGCTGAATATCAAATGGGTGGTGAAAATACAAGTGAAAAACAACAAGAAAATAATGGAAATGCTTCTGCTAATACAAAATCATAAATAGAAAGAGAACAAACAAACAAATAAATAAAGCATAGTCGATGTTGTACAGTTCTTTTCTTTTGTGTGCGTGTGTTTGTGTATTCTCTCTTTGCTCCGGTGTACAAAAACTAACATTGTGCACCGAACAAAACAAAAACAAACAAACAACAAGTTTTTTTTTCTCTCTGTTTTTATTTCATTGTTGTCCGTTGTCTTGTGTTTATGTTCCTTTCCATTTTGATGCTTGTTTTATGGCTGATATTTTGACATTTGCGTAGTTTTTGAGAAATGATTTATGTTGTAATTGTTTTTTTTTACGATCTCATCTTTTGTCGAAAAAACAAAAAAGGAATCCGTTTTTTTTTTTCTTTGTCTTGTATTATGATTCGTCTTTCGATGAGTATCAATTTTATGTATAGACAAAAAATACAACATTTACGATTATTGTTTCGTGTTTTTAACTTCATTATGTCTAAGACACAAAACATGTCTCTTTCTCTCTGTATTAGTTTCTTGATACTTTATTGTATATGTATGTTGTTTGGTTTTTTTTATGTTCGATATGAGAGAAGAGTGTCTGACACAGAATGAGAAAAAAAAGAGAACCGAATTTTGTGCCATCTATAAACAACAATAAAATTATTTGAAGATCTTATCACTTGAGATAATGGATTTTTCTTTTCTGACATAATTGAAATAAAAGAGCGATAATGATTAATACAATTAGAATTTACATAATACGATAATAACTAAAGTTGATTGGACTTTACATACTGAAAGAATTTGTGATGATGATGATGATGACGCCATTCATATTTTGAATAGAAGAAACGTGACAACGCTAAAAATCTATGGATAGAGTTCGGCAATAAATGTGAAATATATCTATCCGAATCACGTAGCCTGTTCATATAGTAATAAAGTTATACTTGACTTTTACGGGTAACTAGAACTTGATTGCAATGAATTCTATCTATACGACAAATTCTCTTGTGTAAGTTCCGAAAATATAATGGTATATTTTCTTTCAATATCAATACATTTATTATAAGCATGAAATTTATAAAAGAACTATTTTATAAGGCTTCAGTTACTTTACTATGCATATAATGTATAGGGCTTGTATTAATAGATTTCTTGTCTGTGCTAGTATGTTTTCTTTTTTTTCAAATAGACTAATGTAAATGTGTCGACTTTTTTTTTTACAAAACATTAAATTTTGCCTTTCATCAATCATCATGATGTTTTATCATAATTAAATATAGACTTTTCCTATGACTAGTTATCAATGATATTCTAACAGTTATGAATAAGAGATTGATTGATACAATCAAAAAGATATTGATGTACAAAACTCGTTTTCTATTCATTATATTCTCATTTGTCCACATATTATGTACAATAATGAACAGAAGAATTTATTTGGTCTATGTATATCTAATCAAATACAATACATCACGCATCAATCTTTTTTTTCTTCTTCTTCTTCTCTTCTATCTTGTCTCTTATAAGTTCAAATCGAGGTCATCATTGTGATGTATATGGAATTATCTTTATTCCTTCTCGTCTTCTTCATCTATCCCCCCGTTCACACTGTCTAATAAAGAGAAGAAAGCTAAAATATTATTCCTAGTAGTACTAATATATATATATGGCTGAATAAATGAAAATAAAAACTTTTGCAGAATTTTATTTTACTAATGAATTGACATTGTACACGCCTTTTTGCATATTGATTGATTGATGTAAGTTATTTATATTTATTCAAAACAACAAGACAATCAACATGTAGAAAAATATCTGTTAAGTGAATGTTATTATCAAACAGACTTTCTAGCCTACAGTGATATGTTCTTCAATGATTGCTTTATTTAACTGAATTAGAGAGAGAGAAAAAAAATGACAGTGACTGACATGCATATATTATATTATTTGATTCTCGCGAGAGAGAGGGAGAGAGAAAAATATATACATATAGAAACCATATTGTAATCTTCATTCTTTTATCATTTAGAAAAAATACTATTATTAAGAATAGCGTATATAGTGCGAGTCTATAGTCTTTTTTTTTCTTTTGAGAGAGAATAATCGGAAAAAATTAATCAGAAGATGAAAGAATTTTTCAGTCCATAGCGTGACAAAAAAATGATTATTGAAATTAGGTCAAATATTGCTTGGACTAGACATACATTCTTTTATGATTTATTTATATAAGTACATCGAAAATAGATATTTCTTTTGTTCATCTTTAATTTAACAAAGTAAAACCATTGCATATATATATACGTATGTGTGTGTGTGCGGTACATGCCGACACTTCTTTTACTTTTTATTTACTATATTGCTAATACGCATAGTTGCATTTTTACTGTTTTATATTCTTTCATTTGAACTAATGAAAAATGTCAGTTGAAAGAAAGAAGAAAAGTGAGGAGAAAAAAATTTGAATAAACCTTTTATTTTAGATTTAAAATGAGGAATTGTACACGTTTATTTCTTCTTCTTGCTCCATCATTAATTGCACTTGGTTTACTTGGTGTAGCATTTAGTACACATTGGTGGTCAAAATCATTAGAAAAAGTAATATTTTAAATATTCATGAACGTTTCTTTTTACTTATTTTTTTCTCTCTCTCTATCTTAGTATATTCCAGAAGAAATTTCGTCAAATATTTCAAATGATGCTCGACTTTATTCTACATTAATACCTATAGTACGTTCACGTGGTTTATTAAGTGAACATATTAAATATCTTAATATTCCAATACTTGTTTCGAATTCATTTGATTTTCGTGAAGAAATATCTCGTGAAGATCAATTAAAATTATCGAATGAGAATTGTTCAAATACTCAATTTACGTGCCAAAAAGGTGTAGCTATATCACGTCCATTAACACGTTGTATTGATCAAGGACAAAAATGTAATCGTATAATTAATTGTGAAGATAAAAGTGATGAATTATATTGTGACAGAAATTTTCAAAATAATGATTGTCCACCTGATCATACGTTCTGTCCTGATGGAAAAGTTTGTTATCGAAAAGATGTACAAACATGTGGTATGTTAAAATCAAAAAAAAATTAAGAATAAATGTTCATTGATTTTTATGAATAGATGGAGTTTCAAATTGTATTGATGATTCAGATGAAAAAGATTGTAGTGAAAACAAATGTTCATCAAATAAACATGTTTATTGTCCACGAGAAAAAAGATGCGCACGACGAGATAATTCCTATAGGTATAGATTTTAGATTTCAATAAATTTCTTTTCTTAATATGTGCTTTCAGATGTGATGGTATTGTTGATTGTGAAGATAATTCAGATGAAGAAAATTGTTCAAAATGTAATGGAGATTCAAATGCTTTTAATTGTGATTCAAAATGTAAGTATATTAGATAGAATATGTGTAGGATTATGAAAAGATAAATGTCTTGTTACACAGTGTTTTATCTAGCGGAAGGGAAGAACATAGGACATTTTGCACCCCAGAAGACTGCGTTTGCCCTTCTGAGATTTACGATTTTTTCGCGCTTTATTATGCGTTTGCACCCCAGAGATCATTTTTGAACCCCCGAAGGTAAAATACTGGTTACACATTTGTACTATACATGTTTCTTATATATTTTGAATTCGAAGTTCTATAATATAGGATTAATCGTAAATTTGTTGTTCGATAAGATTAAAAATATATCTGTTATTATTAAATTGTTACAAAGAAATAAATGATACTCACTAGTAGAAATATCATTGTAACAAAGATTACATTGACCTTTAAGATTGTATATAGATCTTACATTATGATATGTATCATTTATGTAATAAGAATACTTTGCTCAAGTAAAGGTTAATCATACAATCTCTGCTTGTCATTTTCTAATATTGATCATCTGTGAATATAACTAGAAAAATTAAATCTTTTTACAAGGATATACGATCAATTTAGACAGTATTAGATTACTATCATATATGTTTTAATACATGAAAACTTGAATGAATATCCAACTGTAACAAGATGCACAAATGACACAATTTTCTTTTTGAGCAATATTTAAAAACTGATAATAATAATAATCGAAATTTAAATACACATCTAAATCATCATCATTCAACTGCGAAGGACCAATGTTCATAGGCGACAACCATCTTACAACATAATCGCCGTTGCGTTTTCAAAGACAGCTACCTACCTTATTATACGCGTGGGTTTTTGTGAAATCCTTACGTGTATACAGCGAGACGAACGATTGTTGTTTTGAGAGTTGTTGTAAAGCACATCACGGGTGATTAGTCCGGAGACACTTACTAGAGCTCACGTTAGCCAACGAAAAAACAACGTTTTGCATTTGAGACTGGCCAGAATGAAGGGTTGGATTTTGTCAGACATGTATCTAAATAAATTCTCTTTATTCTGTTATATTGTCTTTTATACGATATAAATAAATTTGAACTTCTATACATTCATAAAATGTTTATAGTTTTCTAAAAATTCTGTATATCAATCTTTCGTGATCTATTATAAATTAATACATCTTTATATTTTTCACCGTATAAACACAACTGAAAGAACTCGAATTAAATTTATGAATATTAGATGGTTTCTATCCAGAACATTTTTTTTGTAATTATACATGAAATGAAAGAACGAAATTAGTTCGATTACTGTATTTAAAAATAACTGTTTGAATCATTTTTCGAAGACTGTTATTTATAAAATTAATTTTTAAAACTATTTGTTTTTATTATAGGTTTTCTACCAAAATATCGTTGTGATGGTATTGTTCATTGTTCTGATTTTCGTGATGAATTACATTGTGGTGATTATTCCAGTAAATCACATTCTCCGAATTCTGTTTATCATGAAGATCCATTGTATGAAGAAAAACGTTTAAATCCATTTAATGTTTATCCACCAAAATATGATTTATCATCATTAGAATCTTATCCACAACCAAATCAACGTGCTGACTATCTTAATCTTATCTATTATTTACAATTAGGCGCTTTCTATGGTATTACAGGTGGATTAATATTTCTTTTCTTTTCAATAATGTCATTATTCTTTTTTGTTTGCTGTCATGATAAATGTATACGTGCACCATTTTATCTGTATAGTTTCTGGACATTATTAGCATTAATATCGATTTGTCTTGGTTTATTAACATTTGTTAATATATGGTTTTGGAAACAACAAAATTCATTAGATTATGAAAATAATTCACCATTTAATATTATGCTATATCAAAGAAATCCTTCATTACAATATATTGAATGTTTTGGTTTAAGTTTTTGGTTAGCATGTGGTGCAGCATTAGCAACATTTATTAGTTTATTATTATCATGCTGTATTTGTTGTACAATTGGTTCATCACGTTCAGAAAATAAAGAATATGAAATAATGCATATGCAAAATTATTAAAATAAATCCTAAAACACATTAACTTTATTTGTTATATAAATATAGTTCTTTTTCTTTTCTTTTCTTTTTTTTGGCTTTGTATGAAAACTTAGTTATACCGTTTTCTTTTTCTTTATCTATATTATGGTCTAGTCAAACATATGTATGTGTGTTTATTGTATCCTATGTATAAATATCTTCATCGACTATTAGCGATAAAATCAAATGAAATGATTTTATTATCATGAAAAAATTAAAATTAGATATTATTTAATAAAGAAATTGTATGAAATAAATGAACAGATTAACTTATTCATATTCGAAAAAAAGGGATAGAATTTATGATATATAATAAAGTGCCTATTCTTTTAACTCGTTGAGTTTTGGCAATATATAAATACATCTGAGTGTAGATACTGGACAGATAGGATATTCTTTAGTTGTGAGGGAAATCCTTTTAACGCATAAAAATCTATAATGCACTAGTAATTTTTGACAAGAGATTTTTCGCTCTTTTTCAATGTTTGGCCTATTTATCAAACATTGTAATCAACATAATCTTTAAAAGAAAATGCATGATTTCTACGTTTTATCATATTCGACGTGTGACTTGATCTGTGTTCCGATGGTAATGTACGTTTATGTATTGCAGACTTCTATATGAAGATGAACTATCTTCAGTTATTCGTACGATTGACTACTACATTCGGTATGCTTGTTAGACGAATTTGACAATCAAGTTATATTTAACTTAATTAATAACTTGCACTTGTTAGACTCAAAATATGTCAGTACATATCCGAATAATTTGATTGAGATAATATTATTGTATTTATTCATACTTACAAGGTTTTTACTATAAAAGGAATTTCACAACATGTCTCTTTATATTATTTCATTATATGTCATAAAAAGAAAGGATAAATAGATATGCTCATCGTTAATATGACTTTGCATAATTTGATTAATTGAAATTATTATTCTACAATTCATATTCATTCATTTTACTATTCTTATGATCATTAAATATAGAAATAATTGTTTTTAATATACTTATTTCGATCAATCTTACGAGAAAAAAACTACTATTGTAAAATGTACTACATTTTCAATAATTAAGCCATAATATTTTTGAGAATACACTATTCATATCTATTATTCTTTTCTACAGGGGTAGCGCGATTGGTGGCAGGGAAGAGGGGTGTCGAGGGTGTAACACCCGCCCAATCTTTCGAAATTTCTATTTCTTGCTCAACAAAATCGGCAAATCTTCTTAGGTTTTTTACCAAAGATAATGCTACATCCTCCCAAAAAATCGCGAAATTTACCTTTTTACTCCAAAAAATTTTGCTATACCCCACACCCAATGTTGGCTGACCCGCGCCACCTCTGATTTTCTATAAAACTTGATCAAAGGCCACCGATGGTAAGAAGTTCAAATGTGAGATCAGCTTTTTTGAAATTTTGTTGCGACTGATTTTTTTATACAAAGTTTGACCGATGATAATCGAAATCAGTTGCTTGAAGCTATTTAGATGAGTAGTTTGCTAGTAGTGAAGACACAATCTTTCTATGAGAAAGAGCTGAGCGAGTCTTCAAACTTGTTTATTAATGCATATAAAAAAATGTTTGTTTTATTCGAATCAAATGAAAGACATAAATGCATATAAATAAATTAGAAACAAAAAAATATATATAAGTTAAATTTATAAAATAATACACATTTTCGTTCTTTCTGAATGCGTATGAAATGAATTATTTATATTTTGTTTATTTTTTCTTGGCTTTGTTTCGATATTTACAGACATTGATCGACCTCTTGGTGCGGATACATCTTCACTTATTCCTCTATCATATACCAGATCACGTTCAAGAGAATTAGATTGCTTTTGTACACGATGTAATATAATTCTATATGTTCCATTGATACTATCACGATTGGAAAGATATTTTTCATCCGAATCTTTTGGTCTGATTAGTTTTAATATATCAGATGTAATACCTAATTCTTCTAATTTTGAATGTGTTTCATATTCAAATGAAGTTCTTGCTGATATTGATGATTGTGTCTTTGTTTTACTTAATGGTATCCAATCATAACTTAAATTTAATGCAAATGGTTGAAATTCTTCAGGAAAATTTTCTCTACTAAGCCATGGACATGAACGAATTTTTTCAATTGACCATCGTTCAAGTTTTTCATAACTGAGAAGTCCACCTGAAGAAAATTATTATTATTTCGTAAATATTTTATATTTTCATTGACTTACATATAAGATCTTGACATTGATCTGAAACATAGGGTGGTATTGAAAAATTTCCATCGATAATAGATTTTTTTAATTTAACAAGATTTTCTCCTCGAAATGGCATTAAACCAGTAATCATAAAATAAAGTGTTATACCCAAAGCCCATATATCAACATATATTCCAATATAATTTTCATCACGATATAATTCTGGAGCTGCATAAGGTGGACTACCACAAAATGTAGTTAATGTTTGATTTTTTTCTGTATATGTACTAAAACCAAGATCACCTAATTTTATTAAATGTTCTTTAGCAAAGAAAACATTTTCACTTTTTATATCACGATGAACAATATTTTTACTATGCTAAATAAATAGAAAGATATTTGAATTATTTATAACAAATTCATATGAAATTTTTCTTTTACCATATGATCAACAGCTGCAGTTATCTGAGCAAAAATAATTTTCGCTTCATCTTCAGCCATTTTTCCATGCTCAGTTATACGTGAATAGAGATCACCACCGGATGCATATTCTACAACAATATAAATTTCTTTGATTGTTTCAATAACTTCATATAAACGTATTATATTTGGATGATGTAATTTTTCCGTTGAAGTTATTTCACGTAAAAGTAAACGTTGTGTGCTATTATCTAATTTTGTTTTATCAAGAATTTTAATTGCGACTTTTTCTAAAAACAAAAACAATAAATAATGAACTTTTAATTAACTAAAAGATTTTCAACTAATGTTTTACTTATAATTGGAAGTTTGTGAAGTGCATCAAGGTTATAAAAACAGTTATTCTTTTGCGACTTTATTTAAGTTAAGAAATGTTTTGGTCAGAGTGACAAATGAATTTTTAATCAAATGCTTTCATTTAGAATATTGGATAAATCTAATAAAGTCTTGTTTGGACAAGATAGTTTCACTGTGGATGATCAGTATACCTAACTTAACTTGATGTAAGACTCTACTGTCTGTCTCAAAATAATTTTCGATAAGAATAATATGGAGAGCTGCGGTTTCCACCGTTAGAACGAGGGGATAAAGACGCATAGAAACTTTTTCCAAGATTATTATATAAAGCTTTTGGAAAAACAGTATGTCACATGAATTTATTGATTATCGGGAACGTAGTTAGAACCGTCAGAGAATGAGCAACAAAACTATTGAAAGATTTCATGTCTCATTACTACTAATAAGATATTTTTGCCATTAAAATACAGTTTACTATTACATATTTCCTTGAAATAACAGGTGCCTCTTTCTTGTTCCTATTGAAAGTTATTTAAAAAATACCCATCGGCCTCTTATTTTGCAATGGATAGCAATATTAATAACAGTAATATTGAGAAAAGTAGGATGTATTTAAGCATGAAAAATCCCATTTCTTATAGATTTTTGAAGCAAAATACCAGTATCTCATATTTTATATATTATACGATGTAAATTAATTTAGCAGTTATTACAATGAGTTAAGTAGAAGATTTCTAATCCAAGGATAGAAAGTCACACTAACTCATTCTTATTTTGACTTGATTTATTTTCTTCAATTATAATGAAACTGCTAAGTAACTCAAAAAGTTTAGAAAAATCATTTTTTTTACCTTTAGCAAGTAGATGTTGACCAAGTTTAACACGTGAGAAATTACCCAAACCAATATCTTTTAAAATTCGATAAAATCCAATACGTCGACCAGTTTTTTCTTCACCTTTGAAACGTAAATCATTTTGTGATTCATATAAAAGTTTTTCATATGGAGTTAAAGAGTTTTTTTCATCTTTAGCAAATGTAACATTCATATTAGTTGATGATGAATTACCACCATTCGATGGTGAATGTTTACCAGTCATATTATTATTAATTTTGAATATGATAATCTTTTTTGATATAAAAATAAGTTTGAATTATTGTAGATTGACAAGAAATATAATCTGTTGAAATTGTAAATAAAAATAACATATCATTTTTATATCTATAAAAAAAACAAAAAAGAATGTTCTGAAATATTTGTTTTTGTTTGTACCAGATGGTATTTAGCATAAAAATATAACTATAAACTGTCAACATTTCTACGACTGAGAATAAAAGAAATAATTTTACTTCTATATACATTCTCGAATAATAATAAGCATAGCTACTTATTATACGAAAAATTAGATAAAAACTAAATCGAACTCAAGTTACGTCGTCTTGTTTTCAGTAGCTACAAACAGGCGTTAGTGAAAAAGAAATAACATCTTTTAAGAGAAAGAAAATTTTTTTTTTGACGTCAATTAATGTACTCGAAAAGTGTAAGCGATCGAATAGACGTCAGACGAACATTCAAAGATGTCTGATTACGTAGGATTGAAAGAAGAGGAAAAGTTCTTATTATTTATTATTTATGAATAATAACATATTTTACTCGATAAACGTCAAAATTAAGAAGAACAGAATAAAATTTTCTGTCCTCGGACGTTTTTTTTCCTGCTGTTTCATTTACTTCTTATATTATTACCATATATCGATTTTCTTTTCTACTGTTACTAAGCAACGATTTCAATCTAATGCACTTATGCATTTGATCTTTTCTTGAATAATAATTTAATAATTGATGTCGAAACATTTTTTTTGTTTGAGAAATTTATTTCATATTAATTAGAATTGAATAAAAATGAAATATTAACTTGAGAGAATCAACTACGAATGGTTAATTACTAAACGATTGACCAGTTATTTCTATTTTCTATTTGCCATAAACATACTTTTATTTGTAAGATAATTTTCAAAAACAAAAAAAACTAATTTTTTTTGTTTTTATTTCAAGATTAATAGATCTTTTCTTCTAATTATTTATTAAAAACATCAGCACACACAATGAAACGTAATCGTTTTGTTTCATCATCACGTCGTAAAGCTCGTAAGCGTTATTTTACTGCACCATCACATATTCGTCGTCAATTGATGAGCGCACCATTAAATAAAGAATTACGACGACGTTATAATGTTCGTAGTTTACCTATTCGAAAAGATGATGAAGTAGCAGTACGTATCATAGTATTCTCTTTAACTTTACAACTTATTCTTTAATTTAAATAGATTACACGTGGTCATTTTAAAGGTCAACCATCAGGTAAAGTCACACAAGTTTATCGTAAAAAATTTGTTGTTCATATTGAACGAATTACACGTGAAAAAGCTAATGGTAATACAGTTCATATTGGTATTCATCCATCAAAGGTAATAATATTTAAATAGAATTTAGTTTATTTATCTTCTATATTGTTATATTAAGGTTCAAATTACCAAATTGAAATTAGATCATGGTCGAAAACGTATCTTAGATCGTCGTTCAAAATCGAAATTATCTGGAAAAGGCAAACATACTGAAGAAAGTATTCAAACATCAACAACTACACCTATGGAAGCATCATCATAAAACAAAAACTAAACACATATGTTTTGTTTGTTTTTTCTTTTGTTTTGTATTTGTGTGTGCGATCGAAAAAAAAATACAAAAACAGTACAATAAGAAAAAAAGAAGAGATAATTAATAAAAAGTAACAACTTTAATTCATAGAATATTTTCTTTAGATAGAAATGTATTCATTCAGAAAATATTTACAGGATTTCGATATTATGAATTCAAATAGAATAATAGGTTTATGTAGAAATTAATTGAGACTGTTTATTATGATGAAGAATTTGTTCGATTAGAAATTTTCTAATGAATTTTGATTATAGAAGTATTATGATATATCAACAAGTTTTTGACTCTTTTCAAAGTATTCTAGACGAGTGAAAAACTAAGAGTTAGGGAACGTGAATTTTATACTCTTTCTTAATATGGCTTTAGGAATTCTGTACTTGTTTATGCTCGAGAATAGCGAGGAAACCTTTGAACATTCTAAAAAACTGATGTGCGTGGTGAACAAAGAGACTTTCATACATCCCTATGCAAAGATGCTAAAAATGGTTCCATTTGATAATTTTGTAGAGCGAACAGTTCTTTACATAAGAGCTACATTGTGGTTGGTAGAAAAACAACAATTTAGATATTTTATCAGAACAACGCGTTAAATTCAAATACTATATTTTGTATGTCGTAAGTAGAAATTCGAAAATGTACAAGGAGATTTTTCTATTCAAACCATCTTTTTAGATCTTTCAAAAACAGGTATATATTTAGAAAGAGCACAAAAGTCTGATCTACTAATCCTTAGGTTTCCACTCGTCTAGAATACTTTGAAAAGAGTTAGAAATGGGCAAACATTTAGTCCAAAAACCTTTTTTTATAGTATTTTTCATCTCATTACAATTCAGCTTTGTACAGATATAATGATTTGTGATTTGTAATCTTTAATATACTGATATATTTCTTATCAACGTAATGATATGCAAAATTTTAACGAATACACAAAAAAGATAAGTTGGAGAAAATCAAAGAAGTAAATCTCTTCTTTTTTATTGCACTCTCAACCATTTACAATCATCACTCAAACTTTATTCAATAATAATAATTGTTCTACAATAATTTGACGTATACCTCTTTCAAATCAGGTTTCAACAATAATTGGAAATCCAATAACAATATAGATGGATTCTCTCTACAGGTAGTTGTATCAGATTGACATAATCTTCATAGATTTTCTACATCAAGGCATGTCTAATTTGACTTATGATATAAATGAACACTTTACAGTAAGTTAGAGAAAGAAAAAAAGAGAAGTTTTTTCAGTTCATTTCTCATTTATATAATTGCAACAGATGAACACTTTCCTACAGAATCAGGAAAAGAAAAAAAGAAAAGTTTTTTTTAGTCTATTACGCATTTATATAAATGTGACAGATGTACACTCTTCCTAACCAACAGTGAAGTGTTGATTTATGTCATTTATATAAATGATAAATCGATAAAATAATTTTTATAGGTATGAAGTGTGCTGATGAATTCTTTTTTCGTTTCATTTATATTATAAGTCGAATTAAGCGAGTACTATTCAACATTTTGAAACCTTTTATCTCACTATCACTCCTTCTGAATTTTGATTGATGCATTAACTTTCTAAATGTAGACACACGCGATTTTGTGGGACTTTTAATTCACATTTTTTTTCTAGTGGAGACAAGGCTATATCATAATTCTATATATAGTACTGTCAGATTGTCGATATCGCCAATCAATTTAATATGTATAAATACTGCCCTCTATGATTTAGATGTTTTCGATTGGTTTTATTTCGTTCTTTGATTGAAACAAATCGACTGAAACAAAAACAATCACTTTTCTTTTTCGTTCGTTTTCTCAATGGACATGCATCTTTCAATATCGTCTTTTTTGTTTGTTCTCATTGGTTTTTCTCTACAAAATCAAGTATTATCATCACCATCACCAGTAATTCTTTGGTCTAATGAGTAAGTTAAATTTTCATTCTTTTCATCATTAACTAGTTTATTTCTACAGGGTACTTCCTAAATCGGCAGGCGCGCTTTCTACTCAGCGACCACTTGATCTGATTTCCGATAATATCTGTACATTACCGAATGAAATAATTCAATTAGAAATAATTGCTGTAAAAGATGTAAGTGAAAAGATAATACAAAAAGAAATCTTACATTATTCTCTATTTAGTTCCTTATTGAAGATATCTATGAAGGTTTACAAAACAATTATCCACTTTTAACAGATATTAAAGTAAATATAATAATATCAAATAATTTTTTTACTATTATCTTTTAAATAGAAAGATCAAACTAATCTTCGTTATTACCCAAATTGTGGTAAAGATGCGTATGATATATTTTCAAAGGCTCCTCAATCGAACAATATGAAATGTGCTCGTACACATTTTCAATTATCATCATCACAGATTTATGAAACTCTACATGATGGTTTGTTTTAAATAATTATAGAAAAACTAATATTCTTTCTGTTTTTTACTTTAGCATTAAATGCAATGCAAGAAAAGATAAATAAAATTGGAACAAATACAGATAAAGCGATTGTAATTGCACTTATGAATTATCCAACTCAAAATGAACAATCAGTAAGAATAAAATGATAAATTTCTATTGATTTTATTTTTAAAAAATTAGTCTCGTAAACGTCGTGCAACAAATCAAGCTGCAAATTCTAATATAATTGTATCTGATAATAAAACATGTATGTTTTATGCTCAAAATGCAATTTGGATTAATAAAAATGGAGATAAATCATCCAGTCAAAGTTATAATTTAAATTTAACTGGAAGTAAATGTGTACTAAATACAACAGTAACAAATAGTAATCAGAGTTCAGCTATTCTTGATCTTGTATGGATTAATCCACAATTAGCATCGGATGTTGTTAATATGAGGTAAAATATATGATATTTTGTTTTCAGATAATGAAATCTACAATTGAGCGAAAAGTTTATCTAGCAGGAAGTGTGTTTGCGAAGAGATAGATAATGTGAAAGCTTATTAAAATATGTGAGACACGAATCTAAGACTAGCAGTACAACTGTGTTTATATAGTATCGATAGAAGTTATACATTGAATGTAGAAAAAGTAAAGTCAATTTTAAGACCAGAGATGAGCAACTTCAACTCCACAGTTGGAGTTGCTTACCCCCCGGAGTTGCCCGTCTCTGTTTAAGACATCAGTTAACTGTAGTGATAATCGACAAAATATTTTTCGATCGAGAAATCGAATTAACAATTATAATATTTATTTAAAGATTAGTTGCTACAATCATTGGACAATACTGGTATTTAACTAATATTACTGTTAATGATAATCTTTATCGATATTTTGCATTTGGAATGCAAAATCTAATGGATACACCTCCTAAATTTTCTTATGTTTGTACAACAGCAACGTTTGTTCGATATGATGATACAACAAAATATGGAAAATATAATTTTACTGATAAATTTAATATAAAATCGTTTCAAGTAAAATTTTTATATTCTTACAAAAAACTAAAAAGAATTGAATTATATTTTTATCTTTAGTTCCAACCATTTTATGGTAATGGTTCATTTTTTGGTCCACCTAATTACTGTACATCATTTTTTACAAGTGGAATATGGATGGGTATAACATCAAGTTTACTTTGTCTCGCTATATTATTATTTGGTATTACTCGTATGATGTCAATTAAATCCAATGATCGATTTGATGATCCAAAAGGCAAACCATTAATTATTAAAGCACAAGAATAAACATTTATTTATCCGGTGAATTGTGATGAAAGTTTTCTTTTTTTTCTTTTTTTTTGGCTATTTAAATAAACTGGATTTGGCTTTTTTTTTAATTTTTAAAGATATTTAAAGGTATATATTTATTATTTTCAATAGATGCAGATTAAATTAACAATCAATAATAATGAAGATGACGATTTAATTGTTATATCATTAGGTAAAAATTAAGTTTTTATTTATAATTTTGGGATTGGCGAACGTTCAGCACCGGATTTTTCAGCACACGAATGATCAGCACAGTAATTATTCAGCACCAAGAAAAATTAAAATCTTGAGAGTGGGTGTAGATGTAGGTGTGGGTGCGGGAGTAGACGTGCGATTAGAATACACTACTGATGCCCACCCACACCCACCCTCAAGATTCTAATTTTTCTTAGTGTTGATGTTTTCATGCGCTGAATAATTACTGTGCTGAACATTCCGGTTCCCATGATTTTGTGAGATACGATCTAGAAGAAAGTGTATTGAGGTAGATATCTGCACCCACTGACTGTAGTAATCCTTAGTAATGCGTCACAGACATACCCCGATTGTACAATACTATTCATATAAGTTCAAAGAGTACATACATCAATAGCGCTTTGCTCTAATATTGATTTCAGTTTTGAAGGAATATAGACTAACAGCTTTTTTTTCCTCTATAATTACAGATTCATCTTCAACAATATCATCATGGTTGATTGATTATTATTTTACGAAAATTTATTCCAATCAAATCAAAACTTCTAATAAATCTATTCAACCAAATAATATTATTGGTTTACATGATATGTTTATTATTTATCAAATAATTCATTCTTCAACATCATCAATAGAATTTTTAGAATTATGTAAAAAAAAATTTCAAAATAATAAAGATGATTTAATATTAGAAAATTATAACAAATATTTAAATCGATGTGGTTTAAAGGATATCATTGATTTATTTCATCAATGTCAAATACAAACATGTATTAAAATGATTGATTTAAATATAAATCATATAAATAATGAAATTGATCGATTATTTTTTGATCATTTATTAGAAATAGCATTAGAACGTTCAATTTACAATGAAGAAACACAAATAACAACTATAGAAACAAGTGAAAATATAGTTAAATTATTTGAAAAAGAGAAAAAACATATGGAACAAACAATTAGTAAAGTAAGCTTTTGAATGAAAAGATTCTTATTAACGCATACTTTATTTCGTTGGACTAACTAATCAAAAATTTTTATTGAAAACTTCAGTTTCTAATAGAAAACGTAAAGATCCTTCTTTTCTCCTGACTATGTTCAGTTTTAACATGTGCATAGATTGAAGATATACTAAGCATCATGCGCCGAGTTGAAATGTTCAGATTCAGTCATTTCCGATCCATTGATGAAAGAAAGTAGAAGCAGGTTCGGGCAAGTACGGGCTTTCTCGAGTACGAGTACTTCAAGTATTCTGCCCAGATTTGAATCGAAGGAAAAGATTTCATTGTTGGCTATGGTAAATTCATGCATAGTAGAATAAATGTTAAACGTTTGGAAATATTCGAACATTATTATGGCTGTTTGCGGAATAGATTGTATACCTTAAGAAAAGGCTCGGAGAATTCTTTGGATACTTGATACTGTCTGAGTTCAACGGACCCCTACCGATGAGTTCAGATGTAGTGTATATAGATTATTGACTTAAACTAACATGCTAATCATATTCTCCTTTTTCTTACTATGATCATTTCTTCCTTAATCTCAGACCGTTGTTTATTTCGTTTCCTATTTTATCTTAAAATCTATTTTCTGTTTTATATAGAATTATATTAAGCATACATTATGTACATACCTTTCACTTTTATTGGATACACGTAATGAGCATGCTCTTATTCATTGTCTTGCAACACCTGTACGTACTGGCATTGAACGACGAACAATAGTTGAATTGCGACGTTTAACAAAATTATCGAAAAATGAATGTTTAACTATTTATCAAATACTTCTTTCATTTATTCGACGCAAAGAATTATTATCAAGTCGTTTATCGCAATCATCATCATCACAATCATCTCAAGAGTCAACAAATAATGATGATGAATCATTTATAGCTCTTGATAAATATTATGTTGGTATAAAAGAATTCTTTGATTTCATTGAACAATTACAAATGATAATTGAAGAAAATGAACATTTAAAAATTGATTCAATGTAAATAATTATTTTATTATTTAAAAATGTTCATATTGTCTTTCTTTTTCATTCATTTAGTGTAACATTTCGTAAATTAATGATGCTTATTTCTAAACAATTACGAAAAGATATTTCATTTAATCGATGTGAATCAATTTTTAAAGATATTATTGAAGAATTTTGTGAATGTTTTCAAACAACACATAAAATTACAGACTGTATATCACCAATTCGAGTAAGGCTTAAATTTGATCATTACATACAAATAGATAAGAAATTTTTCTAAGCTCCACTGAAACAGATAATTGTTTCCTAATCTTATCGAATCCTCTTTCTAGTTACTATATAAATTTGAATAGATGTTTTTTATGACAAATATATATTTTAGTCTGCATCATCTGGTGGTACATTGGCTGGTCGTCGTTTTCTTCGTTCTATTGCTTATCTATGTGCTAAACAAACTATTCATTTACCAATAATTTTAACAACAAATGATCATTACGATAGTCCATCAACAGGACTACGAAAAGCAACGTCATCTCGTCTTTTAAGGTATTTATTTATTTTTCTCTCTAAGAAATACTTTCTTTTTTATAATACAGAAGTCCATTAACACCAATACCAATTGTTATTGAAAAAATCGTAGAAATACCTATTGAAGAAAAATCAATTGATATTCCTGCGGAATCTGTATTTATGTGGAAAAAGAAAACTAAAGAGAATGATATAAAAAAGGATATCGTACCTACGAAAAAAAATAAATTTGAACGACGGTAAATATAAAGAAAAATAGATTATTATTAACATATATCATTCTCTTGAATATTTAGTAAATCACAACGATGTCTTGATTTATCAGCAATTGAAGAAAAAAGTTTTGATTCAGGTTCTCAAACAAGTCATTCAATAGATTCAAATGAAAACATCTCATCTGGTTCAATACGTCAACCACTAGGTGAAATTCATATGAATTCATTTGAAATTGAACAACGGCAACAAATCGATAATGATAAAAATTCCAATCCAATACCATTTTCATTAATTAGTGAAGGTGATAAAGAGAATTTATCATTAATGAATAATAAACGAACAACAACAACATCAACAAATGCTGAAGAACCACGTAAAAAACAAAAGAAAACAAATACAAATGTTTTAGTAGTTGGTCAGAAAATGATTACGACTTTTTTTCGTTCAAAAAGTTAATTTTGCTTTACTATTGTATATGTAATATACTATTGTATATGTAATATATATATATATGTCAGATACTAATATTTAGATAATTTTCGCAATTAAATATATAAATATAAATAGAGAATTTATTCTATTGAACTATTTTTCTGTACTAATAAATTTGTTTGTTTTTTTTTGTAAATCTGTTTTGATGTAATGATTGTTATGCTTAAAGAAAATAAAAGATTAGTTAAATTTGTGTATATCTAAAAAGAAACAATGAATTTATATAATTGCTTACGTAATCTTATACGAAATTAAGTTTATCTTGAATGTTATGTTTTTAGCCAATTTACGCTGTCTGAAACTAATTTTATTCTTATTTTCATTGATTGATTAGTGTTTATCCAGCGGGTGGGCGCTATCCACTTGAAAAAATACAGTAGCTATATGAACGTCGCCCATCCGAAAAACGAAACCTGGATAAAAAACTGATTGATTGTGTTTTTTCTTGGAAAATAAGCTCATGTCTTATTATCCTTGTTTACATGTATAACAATTGAATCATAAATGAAGTGTACTCATTCTTATAGGTGCATAAAACATGTTCTCGTTAGAGAGGTTGCTATAGCAAGATATCATAACTAATAAGAATATTTAAAGTGTGCCGTTTACGAAGGGATAAGTACAAATATCGAAGATGTTAAAGTTCTGCGGTTCTTAATAAAGAAAAAAAACATAATATTTATAATGCACCACAATATCTGTGCGCTTTATTATTATTAATTACTGCTCGTGTCCTAAATCTATCTACTTGTAATACGATGATTGAATACTTTGAAAATATACTGGCAAAAATTAGCCCAATAGTAGAAAAACATTTATATCGAAGTTTTTATTATTATTATACTTTGGATTGTATCAAATTGTAACTAGTTTACTGCAATATTCGATAACTTCTCTAACGCATTAAACTTGATAAGATAAATTTTTGGTTTTTAAAAAGTGGCGCCATCGTTCGTCCTAACTCAATATTAGATATAAATTTTATAGCAAATTATTGTATATAATAATGATTAAAAGATAGTCTTAATATCATTCTATCATTGTTCTTTATCATTTTCTCAATCTCTTCGATCTCTCTTTTCTAATTGGTTCCTTACTGATTTCTATTCTTTGTTGAAAACAGTTAGATTAACAATCACTTAACAGTTTATTTCGTTTGTTCGTTCGACATACACATATATGCGTATTTATATATATATATATAGATTGTACTATGTTATTTTAGATTGATCTAAAAGAAAAATGCCGCCTCAATTTAATATCGATGACTTCGAACGATTGAGTAAAGTTGGAGAAGGTATACTTAAGAAAGAAAAAAAAATCATTGATAATTATCTTAATTAAAATTATTATTAGGTACTTACGGCATTGTATATAAAGTGTGTCATCGACCAACATCACAAATATATGCATTAAAAAAGATTCGATTAGAAGGTGAAGATGATGGTGTACCGGCAACAGCTATTCGCGAAATATCAATTTTAAAAGAACTTCGACATCCAAGTATTGTTCAGTAAGTTTGAAAACAAAATATCATTGAAGAAAAATAAAAATCATTATTATTTAGACTTCGTGATGTTATTCTCACAGATGCTCGTCTTTATTTAATATTTGAATATTTAGCAATGGATTTAAAAAAATATTTTGATTGCTTAGGCGAAAATGAAGATATGGACAGTGCATTAATTCGAGTATATTTTTAAATGAAATATTAATAATTTAATAGATAAATTTATCTTTAGAGTTATACATATCAAATAATTGATGCATTACTTTTTTGTCATTGCCGTCGTATAATTCATCGTGATTTAAAGTAAAGAACTAAGCCAAATGTTTCATATTACTATAGTTAAAATCTTTTTGTTTATTTTTAGACCACAAAATCTTCTTGTAGACACAAAAGGAATTATTAAATTGGCTGATTTTGGTTTAGCCAGAGCATTTAGTGTACCACTTCGAATATATACACATGAAGTTAGAAGATTTTTATTGATAAATTTTTATTGATCAAATTTTTTTAGGTTGTTACTTTATGGTATCGAGCACCTGAAGTTTTACTTGGTGCTTCACGTTATTCATGTCCAGGTATGTATTTAAAATACATAAGTTTTATCTGCATATAATATTTTTAGTTGATGTTTGGTCTGTTGGTTGTATATTTGCTGAAATGTATACAAAAAGACCATTGTTTCAAGGTGATTCTGAAATTGATCAACTCTTTCGTATATTTCGGTAAAAGAAATAATTTTTTTTTGCTTAATGAAAACTGTAAATTCTATTATTAATCTCTCTAGTACACTCGGTACACCAACCGATGAATCATGGCCAGGTGTAGTTTCACTACCTGAATTTAAATCTTCATTTCCACGTTGGAAACAAAGCAGTGATTTATCATCATTACTTAACGATCGAATGCGTGATGATGCTCTTGATTTACTTCTTGTTTGTTAAAAAAAACTTACATTAAATTTATTTGACTTTGTTTTTTTATAGAAAATGCTTGTCTATGACCCCGTACGACGTATATCTGCTAAACAATGTCTTACTCATCCTTATTTTAAACATTTTGATCCACAAAATTTTCCCATTCCAGCACCAATCGTTGTACCTGTTGTTAAAGAAGGTGGCAAGTAATATAATCAATGTGTTAATTATCATGTCAGATATATATATATATTTTTTCCTTTCGTTCTTTTTCCTATTTGATGTGTTCAATATTTCTCTTTCATACAAAAATGACAAATCTATATTCTTCAATTTTCTTTTTCTTTTTTTTTGTCACGCGTACGTATAACGTGAAAAATAATGAATCTGTACAAAGAATGATAAACAAACAACAACAAAAAAAAAATAATAGTTTCACAGAAGAAATACATACGCATTATTATTATTATTATTTCATTTTTTTTCTTCTATATTGAAATATGAATAATGACGAACTTTTATCTTTCATTTTATTTTTATTCTGGAATTTGTAGAAAGATAATTTAATCATAACATGCAAAAGACAAGTTAGATGAACTAGTTTTATGACTTACATATGCATAATATAATTGATGTATATTGCTTCGAATAATTCATGATACAAATAATCTTTTTTCACATATGAACAATAAAGTTCTTTTACAGGAGTATAATCATCAAAAGCAGAGGAATGAATGAATAAAAGTTCAATTGAAACACAAGTAAGAATAATATCAAGTTTAACAGGTTTATACAGAATTCTAGGGTAAATGAAAGTAAGAATTACAATTGCGTACTGTATAAAAGTAGAAAGAAACAATGAGATGTCATATTCATTCATAATTTTCACTTACTTCATTGTGATAGTTTGAAATAAAGAATATTAGATATGTCTTATAGACTAACAAAATATTAGAATTATACTTAATGTACTCAGCGGCGGATCTAGGATTTTGGAAGAGAGGGGCGATTTCGGCTAAAAACTATTTTTGAGCCCAATCGAAGTAGTGTGAACCTACTTTTCCTTTCATTTTTCTGTAAAAAAATCAAAAAAAATTTCTGAAGGGGAGCGACGACCCCCATCGCCCCCTTTCCTCTCAATCCGCCACTGGATGTACTATAAATTTACCTGTCGTATTGTACTAATATCGATAATTAATAACAATACATGAAATTTACATATTATTTATAATAATTTTCTTTTATTTATTGAATAGTATACAATATTTTATGTTATATATCTAAATAGATATCTATTATACATTTTTATTAATGTAAGTTGAAATAGTACAGAAAAAAATTTTTTTAAGAGCATATAAACAATAGTATTTATCTACATCATTACTGTCTATGAACAATATTTATACAATTGAATGAAGAAGTTGAAAGTCAAAATTATTTGAATAAATATTTTTTTGTTGATTATTTTTAAATTGAGTTAAATTGTTTGTTAATTGAATTGAATTATTTGTTAATTGAGTTGGTATTGATTCTTGTTTTTCGAATTGATGTTGTTTGTTTTCATCATGTTTTATCCAGTGAAATGAATAAACTATTGTCGCCATTTGTTTTTAGTTCGTATATTATATGTGTATGAGCGAACTGATCGATTTACTTATAACCTTATGAATATCATTTTACTATTCTTTTTATACCAGTCGACCGCTATGCTTGTTATAGGTGAGTCATATATATAGTCGGAATCTTCCAACTACTGTCTCTTTATTATATTGCGTCATCATATTCATTCGCATGCTTACGTTGTTGATTAAAAACATAATCGAATACCGTATAGATAAAAATACTTCCTTGGTAGTGAATCATTAGAAAGAAACGTAATATTTTGAATGGTAAATATCAATGTGATATGAATAGGTTTACTGCGTAAATATTATAGTTTATACTATTTTTAAAACTGAAAGGACTTTCACCTTTCTTCTGATTATACAACGTAACAATCAGTCGATAGTTTCGTAAAACTTATGCAATTACATATTATTTTTTATCTATTATTTAGAAAAAAAATTTATTTTCAAAATTCAATATGCAAATTTTATTTATTATAATAAATCTATTAAAAATATATGTTTACATAGCAGAAACATTTGTAATGTGAACATCGCCTTTGACTTGTAAAGCCTGTACGTTTTGAAATGGTAATCGATGTCGAAATGTAAACCATGGTTGACCATTGCAATTAACCTAGAAATAAAATATTTTGATATAAAGATGAATTATTTCTTATCTTGTTTTTGTGCTTACTTGATAATGTTCGGGAAAGCAAACAATTTGAATTTCGAATTGTTGACCGGGATGTAATGGAAATCCTCCTTGTTTTTCTTCTGCACCCCAACCACCACCTTGACATGAATTACGTACAGCTTCACGTTGATCAAATCTTGGATTGAAATGAAATGCAACATCAGCACCATTATAATTTCCTGCTAATAAATTAAATTCAAATCGTGATGCATTATGTGCTGATTGACCAGTAATAGTTATAACACGACCTAAATATTTATACGAATTAAAAATCTTATTTATATATATGAATTCTAAATCTTACCAGGAAAAACATTCATTGGTACTGGAGTTTCCTATAAGAATAATAAAATTTAGATTGTAATAATGCAAAAACGGAAAAATAAATTCAAACCATAGCAAATTGCCATGGTTGACCATGTTGACCAGTCATGCCTGGATAGATTTGAACATTTGATAATTGTATATCACCTTTAATAGTAACTAAATCAGCTGCATTAAAAGGCATTCGATGGTTATAATCAGCTGTATGTTGATTATTAACAGCGATCTTTAAATAAGAAGGTAAAGAAAAATATTTTTTTCATATTTAATTTTTACTTTGAAGCCTTGTTGAGTAACCATAATTATGATATTAAAAGGTTGACCGCGTTGAATATTCAATGGTGCGCGTTCTTCAGCACCCCAACCACCACCTGGTGCAGAGTTTAATATTAATTGATGAGCACTTAAACGTGGATTAACATGTAAAACGATATCACCACGACGATTAGCCAAGTTGACTTCAAATCTTTGAAAATTTTAAAATAAAATAAAACTATAATTGTAAGAAATAATCTATTTACTGATCGCCATGTGCTGTACCAGCAACATGTACTTGAGTACCAAAGCTAATTGGTGGTGAAATTTGTGCTTCATAAGGAACGGGCTACAACGAAAAAAATTAATTATTTTATATTGAATTTTATTAAAATATAAACTTACATAATTTTGATGATGACCAGCTTGCTATAAAATAATATAAATAAATTAAATGGAATTTTCTACAAAAAAAAATAGTTTAACATACTTGACCCATAGTTAATGTTGAAGAGTTGTTGGCTTTAATGTAGTTGTATGGTAAAGTAATGTAAAAGTAAAAATGACTTGATTTATATAAACTGCTGTTTGATTGTAAAGAAAAAACGAGAATAAGATAAGATGACAAAATACTTATTCATCATATTATAATCTTATCTTGTCCGTCAAATAAATCAACAACCAAAGAAACCTGGCCACGTTTACATAGATACTTTAGTAGTCCTTTTAATCAACTAGCAACGTTATCAGAAAAGACAACAAAACCAAACTCGCAAAAAAATGTTCTCTGTTTTACTAAACTTTCATGATCAAAGTTCTTCTTGTTGAATGTATTATATCTTTCATCTTGAAATGAAAAAAAGTCAATTAATAAAAAATACTTGTCAGTATCACATAAATAGGCAATTTATTAGATAAAATCAATTGTTCTTCCACCCTTTATAACATACAAATTGTAATAAAATTCAAAATTATTTCATTGTAGTTCAATGATCAATTATATACATTGAACACTTTTAGTATGCTTAGTATAAGTAGAATCTTTCTCATTATCAGATAATTGAAGATTCTGAAGACGTTATAAATAATTCTGCTATTAAATTGACTTAATATAAGTATCAAAATTGTACCGTTCTCAAGATGGTGTTTCAAATATATAGTTTCGTAATACATAGATTGTTCATATAAACCTGAAATATAAGTTTTGTGTCTCGTAAGTAAAACTCTGATGCTGAATGAATGCAGCAGAGAATCTTGTGGGATGTTGAAATCACTAACTAACAATATCATCAATAATTTTTAATAGTCTAATGCGGATTAGAATGAACAGTAATATAGTTTTGTAAAAAAACAAGTACCAACATGTATTCTAGATGATATTTATTATTATTATTACTCATATATATATATTCAATGATTGAAAATATAACATTAACTTTTATTTGAGGAGCATTTTGTTGAATTGTATATATTATCGACTCATGATTGAGTACAAATGCATAATCTAGATACTTTTCAGCTTAATTTTAGGTTTCGGCTTTAAAGAAAAAATTCAAATGAATTGAAATATTTATGAATAGAAGATGCACTATCAATATGAATATGCCTATGATTCAAGAGTGATGGTTTGAATAAAAATAAGGATTCAATATTAAAAGAAAAGTATAGAAGTGTAAATTACTGTATTATATCAGCGAAATAAAGAACAAGGTCAAATATAAAATATTTCTCTTCTTTCTACGTGTAGGTGTATTTTTTATTATTATCTAGTTTTATCGGTAACAGTCATTCAAGTGTTTTTTCTCTAAAAAAAGTCCACCCTCACTTTTTTTTTATTTATCATTTTAAAGTATGCAGAGTTAGTCAGTTTAAAACAATAGATAAACAATTTGATTAATGACACATAGAGATTTTAATTATAGGATAGTGACAAAGTCCATTCGTATCAGTTTAGAAATAGATGTACTATAGAAGAACTAATACATGATATTTTATCATGAATAATGTTATAATCAAACTTTGTAGTCATATGAATTTATTTTATAAATAAAGGAATTGAACTGTGGTCTTTTACTTTAATGCAAATACATATCATTGACTATATATGATAATATAATCTCAATTCATTTTTGATCAAATTTAATTTATATGAATTTTTAAGAAAGAAACTTTCGAATGCATGCTTTCTTACGTTAGATTCGTAATTACATATAATTATATATTGACAAAATATTGTACGAAAACAACCGTGTGTTACTTTATCTATCACACACAGTAATCATAATAATGATTAGTCACTTTTTTCTTTATTATACTATCGCAAGACAGTAAAAATGAATACAGTAATAACTGAAATTGTGCACTCTTCAAAAGACTATTTATTTTATCGAATAGAAAATTATTCAATAGTTACTGAAATTTTTCTATGCAACAATTCAGTCTTTCAAATAATAACATACTATTACTAGTCATACATAGTATACAATTAAATAATAATCATCATCTCCATGTAATGGTTTGTTTAATTCAGTAAATATTTAAAACGTGTTAAACTATTGATTTGTCAAATGTTGTAATAATTTGAATGACTGTTTTTTTTTCTCAAAATTATATACGATTAAATAAGAAAAAAAAAAGAAAAATATAAACATAAATGTAACCAATCATTCGATTTATTATCTCTGAGTATGTAGGCATACACGTTGGACAAGAATCATGCTATCGTAGGAGGGTTTTTTTCTCTCACACATAACCAACAAAAATAAAAATAAAAAGAAAGCACTCAGGTGTAACGCTTTTGTATTTCGATCATTTTCCTTTCATGTATCGGGCGAATTCTGAATTGTATACACACATATATTAAACCTATTTCGTCTTCGATCGTCTTTAAGATATAAACAATAATGCAGTTGTATGGATTTGTTATTCTCTCAATTCTAGTGTTGGTTATCGAAGGAAACTTCCGAGAAAGTAAATAGTATTTTAAAGTAAAAATAAAAGTCATTCTTAACATTGTATTTTTTATTTAGATAATAATGATTTAAAAAGAAGTAAATATGTTTTATTTTATTTGTATTCATGTAATATTATTTATTTATAATAGAATGGGAAGCTGCTCGTCGAATTCTAAATAATAACGGTGAATCAAATGAACAATCTCAATGGAAAAATCGAGATTTAGTACAACGTAAAATATTTCACTAGTAATTTCAAACTTTATTTATTCATGTATTATTTTTTTAGCTGCAGGAAGTTCTACTGGAGTAACTGGCTCAGGTATTAAAATACATATTGATATTTTTTTTTTGTAATACTAAATAATATTTCATATTAGATCAATCTAAAGCATCCTTAGTGCAAGAACCAGTTCGTATTGCAGTTTTCAATGATGGTGATTATCATGCACATGTAAAGCTTAATTATATACTCAATGAACGACAAGATGAACAAGAACTTGAAGTTTCTATTCATAAAGGATTTGAACGAGATTTGATTCTTCCTCGTGCAGCAAGTCATATTCGTATACGTGTTATTGTAATCGGTATTGTAAATGATCAACTTCTAATCGATCGACAATTAACCAATTTTGACGGTATAAATGAAATATGTTATTTACTCGCAGGTGATCGTGTACGTCCAGTTTATGGTTTATGTGCTGGTCCTTATGCAGAATATTATAAATTATGGACAGGTAGAAATTAAAGTCCGTTCAAGTCGCCATTCAATAAACATCAAAATTATGAGAGATTTGCTCTAACAAATTTATCTTTTTTTTTAACATTTTTATTTTTCCATCTTATTCTATTTTATCTTTTCAACTAATAAAATGCATTTAGTTTCCTTAGACTCCATATATAGGATCAGTTTATCATACATTAAACAAAAGTTACAAGCAATAATAAGTAAAAATACAAAATAGTATTTTTGTGTGTTAGGTAAGGCTATACATCCTACGCATTTATTTGTTTACTTCATACATATGTGATATTTATTTTTGTTACTAGCGGCTTCTTTTTTACTATAGAATCTTTAGAAAAAGTGATGAAGTTCGACATAGAATCACTTCATTACGAGCAGTCGTATCATCATGAAGCCATTTTATTAGTAGATAAATTAGTTTGTGTATGTGAATTGAGATATATATGTGGTTGTTAAATGACAGATAGTATAACAATAGAAAACGACACAATGATTAGTATCTGCTTCTTTGACATGAAAGCATCGGTTTTCTTTGAAAACATCAAGACAAACACAAAAGTATTGGATGAAAAGAGGCAGTGATGTTAGATTTTTGTAAAATAATTTATCAATCAATTTCTTCTAATTTTTTATTATAGTTTTTTTCTGTTCATATGAATATAAATAAAAGATAACATTAGAAGAAACGAGTATATATATTTGCAATAAAATGTATACAAATCTTCAAATCTAATCACATGTCTTCAAGAGTTTTTCTTACACATTCGCTAACTTTTTTCTTAAAAGCTGGTCTATCATCACGCCACATTACTGATGCATCAATATTTGCTGCTGAATCACAGTTTGGATCGCTTAACATTGATAAAACTGATAAAAGGATTGATTCTAAAGATAAAAGAAAGCATAGATTAGGATAAAAAAAAAAAGAATCATTTGATTTTAATCTTAATTTACCAACTGATTGAACAGGTGACCAACGTTCTGAAGCTTTTTCATAACCAAATTGATCCACCCCCGGTTCGTGAAGCTAAAATGAATTTTTTTCATAAATTCACTTAAAAAGAAATATTCAAACTTACAATAGATATGCATACATCGCCGTTTTTTTCAATATTTGGATGCCAGATTTCCGAAACAAATTTCTATAAAAAAATTACTATCAATGCAATTCTCAAATCTATCCTATTTTCGAAAAACCTTTTAAGAAGCCCGCCTCTTACTGCACTAAACAAACGGTATAAATATATTTCTACTCTCTGAGCATTGTAACTATCCAAATGATCTTATAGTCTATAATACGCTATCTCTAAGACATCCACCAGTACTTCAACGAACCAAACTAGACGTTATTAAACTATATAATTCATACCATTTTTGGTGGTTTAATTGGATATTCTCTTGGAAAATCCAATCGTGCTTTAAAAAATCCTCCTAATAGAAAAAGAAAACGGAATTTTTATTTGAAAAATCTAATTTTAAATATAACAACCTTCATAAAATGTATCAGAAGGTCCAACAAGAATAACATTCCATGCATATGGATTTGATTCATCAATAAGACCTGCACTAATACCTTCAACAGGATGACGATTTAATTCACGTAATTGTCTAAGAAGAAGTAATGCTGAAGCATCCATTAATAAACAAAAAAACTGATCTACAAAAAAATAAATATTTATTTAATATATGTTTCTTCATTTTCATTAGTTAAAATTGAAAAATGTAAATGAAAAAATATTATTACTAATTCTTCCAGACATAAGCAGATTTCTGGAAATGTCACGAACAAATTTCATGATGAAAACCAATGTTTAGATAAGGAATGTTAATTACAAATTTATTATATCGGACAAAAACGTCTTTGATGTTTAGTGAATGAAACTTTTATCGATTTTTTTAGTGAAACAGCGAACAACAAAAGTTTTTCTTTTCAACACACAGAAGGAACCGTTTTTTAATTTAATGGCATGCTATGTGTAAAATGTAAGTTAAAATAAGTAGTCCTATTGAAATCTATTCATTGCAAAAATATGAGATAGATGGAGGATTAGTAGTAGCATTAGATTTTGATATTTTCTATAAAATGTTTTTGAGAACGAGATATTTGAAAATTATTTATACTACAGCTAAAAACAGAATGTGTTTTTCTAGTTACTCAACCAATTGTATATAATATACAACATATGTTACTCGTTAATGTTTTATAATAATAAGTTATGCATCTGCACATGAAGAAAAAAACAATCTCATTTTAATTTTAATTAGAATCTCACTTTCGCTAATGACGATTTAGTAATATTTGATAACTATCAACTAATATTGTTGAAGTAACGGTTCCTAAATAATTAATTTAATGAATTGATTCAATGATAAGACATTGTATTAACCATTGGATATAAAAATTTGTTTGATAGTTAAATAATTGTATATCTACAAATATAAACAATAATTTCTTGAAATAGGAATAGTTCAGAGTTACTTCTAAACTATACTATTAACTAATCTTGTATCTTTGTATCTTTTTTTTCTTTATTAACCTTTAATAAATAATTCATATCGAAGGAAAATATTCTTTTTCAATATAAGATATTACGAAAAATCCAGCTACAAGTACATTTTTTTTCATATATGTACTCATTCATATAATTCTATTAATTGAAAATCATATAGTATTATATCGATATTCAATATGCATAAATAATATCTAACTGATATTTTAATAAATAAGAATTAAATTCTATAATTTTATATATAATCTGAATAAGATTTATAACAATAAAAACAAAAACGAAGGTCATCTCTTTTACATCTACTACTACTTATTGCAACCACGCAAAACTAGTGATAACCAATCGATAAATATTTACTATAACTAACCAATAGGAAATAAGCATTGAACAGCTGATAGAAGTCAAACAATAGCGAACAAACGCCATCTTATATAATCTGACTAGATTCGTCGAAGAAAAAAATCTGTTTTTTCCCAAATAAATTTTAAAGGAATTATTGAATTTTACTATTCATAATAGAAAAATTTAAATACAAAATAATCTTATAAGAAAAAAACCTAATTTTTATTCTATAAAATCGATAACTTAATTAAAAGAATTATGTATTATTTAAAAATTGTTTCTTTTTTTTTTGTTCTTATGTAAGATGACTAATCGAATAAATATTTAGGTGCTGTATGGGATGATAATATGGTCCGATGTTGGGTTAACCTTCAGTGATAATAATCGAATAGATTCGAGATAGAAATGCATTCACCATCAGGAATAAATATATTACTTATAATAATAAGTATATTTGTTGTATTAATTGGAATTACTTATCAACCATTACCTGATAATTTTCCTCAACCATGGAAATATCGTTTTCTTTCATATTGGGCACAACGAATCGAACAATTTGTATGTGAAAAAATTTCTTTTCTTCATATATATATATATAGGATAGTTTTCTATTTAGGGATATTTATGTGAACAAGCGAATTTATTTACTCGAATTAATCTAATACGAAAACTTCATTATCTATCAATTGGTTTATATCAAAAACGATATCCGGAATGTCATTTAAAAGTATAAATTTTGCAAAAAAAAAAGACAAATATATCTTATTGATATATTTTAGGTTTATGATAAAGAAATCTCTGGTATTCATACACGAATATATGAACCAGAAGAAATGATTAGTTATGAAAAAAAAACAACAATAATTTATTTTCATGGTGGTGGATTTGCTGTTGGTTCAATAGAAACATATGATCAAGCAACTTATCTATTAGCTAATTTAACACGTACTATCGTTATTGCAGTTGAGTAAGTTTATCATTGTTTATTTTAACTACAATATATAGAAGATACTATAAACACATCTGAACCGATATATAAATAAACTCTATTCAATGAAAAGTATCCGATTTCGTATTTGAAATAAAATATGAACGGTGTACTTTCGCTAGGGTTGAATGCGTTTCATTTCCTTTTAATTATTTTAATAAATGAAATATTTCAATTTAGATTTCGTTTAACACCTGAACATCGATTTCCTAGTGGTTTAGAAGATTGTTTAACAGTAAGCAGAGAATTATTTCAAAATGAAGATAAATATCAGATAAATTCGAATCGTATTATTTTATCCGGTGATTCAGCTGGAGGTAATCTAGCTTTAGTTGTTAGTCAATTATTAATTCAAGATGGATATAAACCATATTTAATTTGTTTATTATATCCTTCATTACAATTCTTAGATTTTACATTACCATCATATCGTATATATTTAAAAAAGAATATTCTTGGTGTTTTAAATGAGAATAATATTATTTTAATGATATCTTCATTAAGTGAAAATAATCTTATTATACCAAATGATGTTTTATTTAATACACATGTATCAAGTGATGATAGGAAAAAACTTTATTCTTATATGGATCCAAATAAATATTTATCTATATCACATGAATTGAATGAAATTAAACAAGGAAATGAAAGTTTAATAAAATCTTTAAAATTTTTAATATCACCACTTATGTCTCCATTACTTGTACCCGATGAAGATTTACTTAAATTACCACAAGTTCTTCTTTTTACAACTGAATATGATATTCTTCGAGATGAAGGTAAATGAAAGTCATTTTGTTTTTGTAAATTCATATCTTTTGTTTATCAAGGTTATATATTTGCATCTCGATTACGTTCATTAAATAAAAGTATTCATCATCATCATTTTTTGAATGCATTTCATGGTGCTCATGTTTTCTTATATGGTCCATTACGATTTGAAATAGCTCATGAAATGGTTGAACATACCGCTAAAATTATACGTGATTATCTTTGAAAATTTGTTTTATTTTGTCTTTATACGAATAAATATTAGGAAACAATACAAAGATGATTTTTATGAATTCATTTCATAAAGTATTACGAATAATGTTGACTATCTCATATTTAATCGATAGATTTGTTTATAATGAGCTCAATATAGAATATTGTACTTGCATTCTATAGAAATTTTCTCAAAGTATTTAAATTTATTTGGAATAAATCAGATGATAGAAGTAACAACGAACTGGGGTGAGGATGTGGGCGTCTATCATTTCACACCCACACCCTACACAAGTCAATAAATTTTAGGCTTCTTTTATTTCATTGTCTTCAAGACTGAGTAAAGCAAGTATCAACTTAGAAAATATGATATATGAAAAAAGAGAAAAATTCACGATATTTTTATGGAATGCATCGACCTAATATACAACTCATTTCTCTTCGATATTTTTTATTATTCAAGTCATTTATAAAAACCTCAAAAACTAAGAAATAAATACCTCTACAAATGACTATGGCTAGAGATTGCTGAATGATCGTATTAGATTCATCATTAAAATATATTTACTCGGTTATAATAAAATACTTTAAGTTTATTTGAAAGAATAAAGGAGTGATATATATGAAGTATTGAAGTTATGTAAGTATAATTAAAGAATAAAGGTATATTTGGAATTCAGAATGATGTGTAATAAAGAATGAAACTCACATTTAATAATATGAAAAAAATTGAACTCGATTGTTAAAATGATCGGATACATATAAGTTTAGTTGATCATCAACTATTACCCAATAGGGAGTATTTAATTGACTCGGACTAATGCCAGATGAACCTGTGACGCCAGCAACCGTTGTGCCGTTGGATTGGCCTGCAAAGAAGAATTGAATGCGATGATTTAGTGAATCAGCTACATAGATATTGCCTATTGGATCTAATGTGATCCCGATCGGTCCATTGAGAAGTGTCGATGTGCTACCACTTAATCCAGTAGGACTGCCAATGACGAGTGTCCAGCTACTTACACCTAACACCCAACGAACAATATTGTTGGTTTGATGATTAGCAATTAAAAGACTATTTGAAGACGAATCAAAAGTAAAGCCATATGGATATTACAGTTGTGTATTGCCAGTTCCTGCACCATTACCACCAGCAGCTACTGTACCCGAAGTAGCATTCACCAAATATTTCATTATACGATGATTGTATGTATCGGCTATATAAAGTGTACCTGTGCTTGAGTCACGGGCTATACCAGCCGGACTATTAAACTTATTGTTTGCAGATCCCGAAATACCTAAATTAGAATTGTATAGAATGATTTTTTTCTCATATTTTGTTATGCGTTCTGAGCTCACTCTTCATAAGAATATACTAAGAATTCTCATTATTCATTCTAATTTCTTAAGCTCTGAATGATCTGTTAATTTAGTCATATGTGACACTTTGTAATCACGTACAACGTGAAGGTTGATTGATTTCTGTCTTAGGAGGGTTGAGTATCTGTTGTGAGTATATATACTTAAACATCAGAATACATCAAGATCAACATATTTATCCGCAAAAAAGCAACTTGAATATCAAGAAATCAATAAGAAGGCATTATTTTCCATAGCAATGATTAATAATTAAGTATATGTTCTTTGTATGTAACAGATTATTCTCAGCCGACTTTGTTTTCTTACAATTTTCAATTAATAGATCAGAAAAATATATTAAATAAAGATTTTCAACCATAAAACGAGAATTAATAGTTTATAAATATTTTGTTCTATTTGTCATACCTGTAGTACCGGCAATCGTAATGCCAGATGATGCACCATTTGCCCAATATACAACTCGATGATTACCTCTATCTGGAATATACATATTATCATTGGAATCAAGCACAACACAGTCGGGCAAGTTTAAAGCAACTGAGTTTGCACCAGCAGCTCTATTTGATAGACCAGCCACCGTTGTACCATTCGATGCATTAATTAACCATTTTTGTATGCGATTGTTGTTAAGATCGGCAATATAAAGTGAGTTCAATGAACCTAATGCGGTGCCATATGGTCGAGCGAGCAGATTAGCTGCTGTGCCTGCAGAACCATTACTCGCACCAACTACAGTAATACTCGTAGTATTCCAATGATACAAGATCGGAGTAGCTATAAAAATAAATGAAATATATAGCATACATAGTATATCTCACTTTCAGTTAGGAATCGACGAATGTGTATCCTCTTTCATATTTTATATAGTAGATTTATATGTATGATTCATTAAAGTTCACTACTATCTTTTAGGAGATCCTATAAGCTTTGACAGTTAACTTGATGCCCCCATTTGGATCTTGATATAGAGATTACATATGTCTATGTTTCTTTTCTTACTATCAGCATTATCAGTCTTTGAAAATGATAGTAATCTTCAGACAATCCTAGTAATATATATGGATTTTCTTACTGGAATTAATAATAAAAAGTTTTCTAATATGAATAACTTTAATTTTGATATCTCTCTCTGTGTAAAAGCAACAGAATCAAAGGAGTTTTTAATGGCTCTTGCCAAATGATTTATTCATGAACGAAAAAGAAATACAAAGTAGACTAGGAGAAAATTCGATAAATTTCCTACCTGGTAATTTACTCTGTTGAAAGTCATAAACTATTGTATTCATCGAGACGGTAAGATTTGCTGGTGTTACGCTTCCGCTATATAGCGAACATTGAGGAGTAGTCAAACTATCAAATACAGCAGTATTGCAATTAGCAAATTGATTTCCACATTGAGCAGCACAAAGTAATTGCTTTTTGGCGGTCAAACGAGTGATTATGGTGCCCGTTGAATTATAACTCATGTTATAGTAGACACGGCCTATTGTCGAAAGTAATACATTCGCACTTGTAGTCCAAATAAAATAATACATGTATAATAGATACAGATAGGCCATCTAGATTATCTGAAAACAAGTTTATATAATTAATAACATTCATACTAGATTTATTTTTGTGTAGAATCTACATCTGTTAATATTAGCTTATATCTTTTGTCAATGCTTTGCTCTAAATTTACACCAGTTCAGTTTGTTCAATCTTAAATGCTGACAGAGGAATAGGAACACTGATAAACTCTTTACCAGATAACTGCTCAATGATCACCAAAATGATCCACAAATTGAACTTACAAAACGATATCATCGTAAACAAGTGACACATTTTCCGTGTTTAACTGGTGTAACAATGATGCAAGATGAGGATATCGACAGACCCGCTCGAAGAAAATAAGAAGAGAAGTGAAATGAAACTAACAACTGCTTCATCTTTATATTTTCTTCTCTTTTACTCTCTCTCTCCCTCTTTCTCTTCTCTTGTTTGTTTAGTTGTCCATTTTTCATTGACTTCAACAG